AATGAATAAATTGCAACAACTAAGTAGTATTCGTCTCCTGCATATAATGTGCTTAAATTTAATATATAAATAATTATTCAAGGAAAACGATTAGGATATTTGTTGTTTGATGTTTAAATGTTTGAATGGATTTCAATAAAATGTTATACAGAGATCGACGTCGTCGTAAATAAATTAACATAGAGTGTTATCCTACTCGTAAATTTCACAATGAAAGTCTCAGGAATTAAAATCTTTACTATTGTCTAACCCTAATAATAATCTATGAACTATTAGTTATAAGTTTTGTCAAATCGTCTGCTTAGCTATTTTTGTCCCATTAGTGTTTCTACCATAAAATTATTATGTTTGCAAGACTGTGTTTCGGTTTCTCGGTTTCAAGAGTGGGATAAGGCAATGAAATTACAGGGTACAAGGTCATAACACCTTAGTCCTCAAGTCATCAAGAGTATCATGGGCGACACAGTATATAACTACTCGGTTACCATTTTCCATCAGGTGGATTGCATCAGCTTGTTTGTCATTTTAAGTTGCATAAAAATTTGTATAATTTTTTTTTCATCCCTTAAAATCAATTCCCATCTTGACAATATGAGGCTGAACATAGATATAAACTCTTGATTACAAAATAATCATCAAAATTAGTTCACAATTGACGCAAATATTTTATAATATACGAGTACATATTTGTAGCGACTAAAAAATACAGACGAATTTAAAACCTCCTCTATTTAGTAGTACAGTAGAAATTAACGTTCAAGGCCATCGCTTCTATAGTTATATACCATACATCGATTACTGTCTGTAAGTGCCTTCTTTGTATTGTGCTACAATTTTATTCGCAGGTTTGAAGTGTTTGCCTAAACAGAGCTATTGATCACATTTTATTGCTGTATCATTGCACACTTCGATGATTCACTAGTTTTTATGACAAAAACTAGTATAAGAATAGATAGTGATAAATGTCAAATACCAAATATACAACCTGTACAGCATAATGGAGATTGTTACTTTAAAAAGACGTAATTTTTAGAGTTTCCACGCTAAAGTTACTGAAGAATGATGTCATTTTAGAGTCGAATACGTTACTATGATACATGGGAGTTGAGAAATGGTTATACTTGACCATACATATCAATGAAGCAGTAGTTAGAGAAGAGTAGTAGTACCTTAGATTATGTAGATAGAGCATCGAGCCTGAAAAATCTTTATCAGTTAATTGCCAAACTCATTTTTTTATTAGTATTCTATATAGTTGCACACACAATGTACCTTAACTTATCTATATTTAATAAATGAGTTCTTGCGCATTAAAAAGCTGCAAAATTTATAAGACAAAATAAATATAAAAGTTTAAAGGAATCACTTATAACTACATATTTATCACAGAAAATTGTATGAAAAAGTAGACCCGTTTTTCTAGAAGCATTTGTATGGAGACACTCCATCTATATAATCTAAGAGTAGTACACAATTCACAGTACCGTGCGCTGAGGGTCGGCGTAAGCATTATTTAGATATATTTATTTTGAATAGTCAGTTAATTAATGAATATCATATTTATATTTACCTGCATCATTCATATACATCACTAAAACCCAACTTCGATTGCCAACTCGCCTGCCAAGCGTGCCAACTAACTGGAAGAATCCCTCAGTAGGGGGAGGCCTATGTTCAGCAGTGGACAGTCAACGCCTGATCATCATCATAGATGATGATATTTATATTGTATCTGTGAACATAAATTGTTATTGTAATTAGACATCAAAATGAACAATAAGCAAAAATAACTAGAAATATCTGAGTAATGATTTTCACATAAATATGACAACTGAACACAGTATGTAAAGTTTTAATTACAGTATAATAATAATTAAGAAAAAAAACTATTTTAAAACTACTGTAACCAAATAGGTAAAAACATTGAAATATTTTTCAACAGCCTTCCACGCCACAACGTTATCCTGTTATACCTATAAAGGCAAGTTATTCTATGGTGACAAGTAGAGGAGATAATATTACTTAAATAGGTACTAACTCTGTTACATAGAGTAGATACAAAATTTCGTGGTCGTGGTACACTTATAAAGGCTGAAATTTAAGTCATATAGTAGAAAATAACTTCTGTGACTGTGGTAAAGATTTAGGCGACTAAACCATATTTTCATTTCCTGTTCCTTATATATTACTGTATTAAAAACTTCTTTTCCTGCATCCATTTTATGTCTTTTAGTTCATCCTGACCTCCTGACCTGCTCTTTAGCTTCCTATTATTCTATGGTTAGTAGCATAGTAGGCAATACTGGGGGGAAGGGATTGTTAGTAGTGGGGGGTTAGTCCCCATATCTATCAATATACCTTATCAGGTCGACTTCCACGCGGTTCCCCATGGAAACCATTGTGACTAATTTTATCGTTAAATTCGTCACGATGGGCTAGCTGACCTGCCTTTTCATCCTCACCAATCATCTCTCACTGGTGCCCCGCCAGTGTATACCGACGACGCGGGTGGGGTTACCATTCCATTATTATTCATTAAACAAAAAATAGGCAACACTAGTCCTTTTTCAAAATAAAAAAAAAAAATCTAAAACAACCTTTTAAGGGGCTGTATCTTACCATCCTCCCATAGATACTTAAAAGTTGGACGCATCTTGTTATTATTATAGTATGTTGACCAGGTAGCTACTATTATTAAGTATGAGAAAGTGATACTGTCACTATAATGTACTTTACAGTATAAATTATTTATACAAATCTATTGATTTATTTTTTAATTAAGGAGTCGATAGGTTTGAGAAATGGGATATGGTAATAAAAGTATAGGACTCGGAGGACAAACGCCTCTCGTTCTCATGAATTATACATGAAAATATTCCAATTATACTAGTATAATACAACACACCATGTTGCTAATTGTTTCGATTTCAGGCTATTCAATTTCCTGGTAAATATAATAAATACTATTATTTCTTGATACGTCAAAATAGAGTCTCATATATATTGTCCTTTATATTTTAATGATATAATTATTTAAAAACCAACTTTAACCGACTTCATTTACTGACCGAAATAAGAAGTAGTCTATATCATTCTCTATCACCTATAGTACGTATATACCAAATTTCATAGTAATCGGCTAAGCCGTTAAGGCGCTATAAGGTAACAAACAAACTAAATCACTTTCACATTTACATAAATAATATAAGGATATATTTATATAAGAAAATTTACATTTCCTAGTACATATATTAAAAACATGATAACAATCTCGATTATATTACTAAAACTATGACTAAGTGGAAATTTTTCGCAAGTTATTTCGCAAACAAGGAAAATTTCCTTAATACTTAGATGAAGTGTTCATATTGAGAAAAAAAAAATACGAAAACATAATAAACACGCAGATTTGGTGCCTGTTTATTATATTTATTAAGGTCATATTACATCATTCGTTTTATCAGAATACGATATAATCACAATAATAAATATTATGCTTACACACATAGGTATAATGATGACAATTATTGGTTACTAGGGTAACAGCGTCGTATCATCATATATCATCTGTCATACTCGTGAACGGGCGCTGATTGTACAGACAGGTCTGCTTTGATCAGTGCAACTGGTTTATTTTACTCACCATTATCATTATACCAAACGTTAACTGTGCATCGCTGTATTTTTTGCACATTTTTTTTTTTGCATTCCGAATTGAGTAGAAGATTCATAAAAAAATTACTATTAAAAAATTTAAGTTTATGTGTACAAAAATTCTTTGTTTCCTTCTTATTCGTGTGATGATGGAATAATAAATCGGTATCATCAACGTGGTTTTAATTAAATATCGTATAATTCAAGTGTCAGTTATTCGCTCTTAACTTAACACTATTTTGATTTTTTCGTAATATTTGAGATAGAAAGAGACTGCTTATTATTCATTCCAGTCATTGTCTAGGCAGCGAAGTCCCGAGAATAAAGCCTTATAAAGTGATAAATAGATGCAGAACTATGATCCTAAGTAGGCTTAAGCGGTTTATTTGAACTTGGACATTTTTTTATCTCTGACAGAAGTCGGAGGTTATTGGTGCCTGACTATTGTTGTGTAAAAAATATGAAGCCTAGCTTTACCGCCGTCACTAACTATTAATCACCAAGGAATGATTTATGATGATGTTTTTAGGTTTAGTTAATTGAATAATCTTAGGTATTGGCATTTAGACTCGAATATAGGTTGATATAGTAAGCAATTTCTAGTAGTAATAGACAATTTTGTTAATCTGTGACTATAAAGAAAAGACATTTTCAAATCTACCCTGTATTTTCTGTATGTTTTTTTCCATAATTTGTCATCGATTTTGATTAATTTTGGTAAATGTTCATTAATGGAATAGTTTCATTCCCCATATTTTTGTACTTAACATAGATGGATCTTATAAAAATATTTTATAAATTAAATTTTAAAAATATATATAAAAAGAAAATAAACTTTAGCAACAATAAAGTAAACATTTTATCATTAAGGTCATAAAAGTAATAAAAATTTCATTAGTAATAACAAATAATATTACATAGAAAAAATAGCTTATTGCGGAAAAGATTGAGGCCAAAAACCGGTTTTGTGCGGTTTGCAAAAATCAAAAGTATCATATGTCGCCCATCTACTAAATTCGAAAATATTCACATATATATTACAACTATCTTTTAAGCGAGATTTCGTCCGTGTGACCGAAATATATTTACTGTTTGGGATAAATAGTAACCTAGATCTTTCTCCATCCCATATAGTATATGTAAACCAAATTTCATAGTGATTGGTTAAGCCGTTGAGACACTCTAAAGCAACAATTGTTTGTCGAAAACCTCACTTTCACATTTATAATATTAGTAAGGATAACAGTTTCACGTGTTTTTGATTTGTATAATAAATATATCCGCTTATTTTCACGGCCGTACGGCGCTATCTGGAAATGCACACGTCAGTTAGTACAGATCTGGCCATATATACGTAAAGTCGTCGCCTGGCAACCGAAATTGCGCGCGATTTTTATTCATATAAGTGTCATAACCACCGGAAGTTATGGTTTATCTGTTGTGAATGGGTTCATTGTGATGTATGACCTACCTGTGTGTTACGGTTCACATAATAATTAAAATTTTGCGTTTAAATTAATAATTTGCCGCATGGTGTTCAAATCCCTTAAGTTTCACGAGAAGTGACAATTTTGGTATTACTAAGTACTTACTAATATTTTATATTATTACGTATAAGTAAGTGTTTTACTTGTTAATTATTTACCTGGTAATTATAATAACAAAATTATATAAAAAAAAAATACATTAGGTAAAATTTTTGAAGAGGCTTTTAACGCTTGCGTGTAGGCATATCCATCAAGGTTTATAATATAAAATACTCATAATATTAGGTACAGTAAATACTAGCGATTCGACCCAGCTTCGCACGTAGACAGAATTTTTGAAAATCGGCTGAAACTTTTTTTATTATATGTATTATAATAAAAAAAGTTTCAGTCAATTCAACTGATTGGTTATTTTATAGCATTTTATATGTGATTTTTTAGATTAATATAATTTTTTTATTTATGAATCGATTGAAATAAAATAAGCACTAAATGTTCAGTGAAGCAAACCGAAATGTATTAGTGAAAACCGCATTCAAATCATAAGTCAATAATCATAAGTTAAGGTTAAGTCCTTTCTGAAATTAGCTTGCACAAACGTACAGACATACAGACATACAGACAAAACAGATAAAAATTCTAAAAACCATTGTTTTGGGTTCTATTGCGTTCATAAAGCCTTCTTTTAATAGTTTTTCTTATATATTTTCCATGTACAGGCAGCGACCAGTTACGATTTTACTATACGTGTTGATACGCGTAAAATTACGCAAATATTTGTCTTTTTATATAATTTTCCACCAATTTCCTAAAAGGAGGTTCTAAATTCGGTTATATTTTTTTCACCTACCAGTTACCTCTTGCGTTCTTACGCGTTGCCTATCTTACGTAAATATAAAACAAGTGAATATTACCTTCAACAAGCAGTGTACAGTTTTTGAAGGTTTATATCAATTAGTTGAAAGAGCACAATTATCATAATTGTGCTCTTTCAGCTTTCATATATCGTATCGTTCAACCAAGTTAAATCTAAATTCATACATATAATGAACCGGACGAGTTTGTTTGAATGTGCTAACGAACCAACGACCAATTTTTTTTTTTATGGGTAAAAATGGTATGGTAACCCCGCCCGCGCTAACGGGATACGCTGGCGGAGCACCAGTGAAGAGCGATAGATGAGAATGAAAACAGGCCAGTTAGCCCATCATGATGAATTCATCAGGAATTAACCATGATAGTTTCCAGGGAGAACCGCGAGGAGGTCGACCTGGTTGGGTATATTGCTAGCAATAGGATTTTCAGTCTCCATTACTAACAATCTCTTTTCCCCCACAAACGACCAATTGGATTTGAAAAATTATTTTAACATTTGATAGCCCATTTCTTAAAGAAAGTTATAGGCTCTATAATATATTATATTACAATATATAAACATTTATGCTATATAAACATTACAATACGACTGCGAGCGAAACCGCGCGATACAGCTAGTATGTACCATAGTTTCAACTATTAAGACAGTGCGTAATAACTCATTAAGTGCCAATATTGGGCACCGGGGGGAAAGGGATTGTTAGTAATGGAGACTGAGAATCCTATTGCTAGCAATATACCCAACCAGGTCGACCTCCTCGCAGTTCTCCCTGGAAACTATCATGGTTAATTCCTGAAGAATTCAGCATTATGGGCTAATTGGCCTTTTCATTCTCATCGATCACCGTTCACTGGTGCTCCGCCAGCGTATCACGTTAGCGCAGACGGGGTTACCATGCCATTTTCATCCATCAATAAAAAAATATTGGGCACCGGCCTTTCCGTATTAAATGACGAGATTGGCGTTCTATTATTACGTTGACCAGAAGGTGTGGTAAAGGGTTTTGTGTTGAATTTTCCTTCTCTATCTCTGGTTATTTCATTAGAATTATTTTGTTTAACTAAATTAAATAACCAGTAATATGGACTTTAACAAAATGACACCTAGTTTAATAAAATATTATCTGTGATGCCTCATCGTCTTCACCGCATTTTACATCTATAAACTGCTTACTTCATATAGCTAATTCTTTTCACGTCTTTGATTTAATTATGCACATTAATAAATACAAGAATTATTATTTAACAAGTTGCTTTATTTTTTAAAAGTAAGCACAATTTTTGCTTACGGTTTAAAGCGAAAATACCTCGTAATTTATATGTAGGTTAGTATTATATTCTTCTGAATTGTTTAAATTATCACTTTTAATTTTGTGTCCAGTTTTAAAACGAAATATTCTCAAAGTTGATTGGAAGATATCTAAAGATATATAATATACTGAAGATAAGACCAGAGGGAGACTTTGTACAAAAGTCGATTGCTTGGGCACCTCTGTCCCATTCGTGTTTCAACCGTGAAGCAGTTGTGTTTGCATGGATGTGTTTCGGTTTGAAGGGTGGGATATGGCGTGAAATTACTGGGTACAGAGGAATAACACCTGAGTCCTCAGGAATGGCAACGCATGGGGGGTATCATGGACGAAACAGTATACTCTGTTATGTCCATGGTACTGCTCATGTCTATAGGTGACCGTTACCACTTTCCATCAGGTGGGCCGTCAGCTTGTTTACAACACCAACAGGAAAGGAAGAGGCGACCTTGTCTATGCCGGGGCCACACGGGCGAGGGAAAGGCAGCAGCGTCCCTCTTAAAACATCTCCAAAGCCTAACTGCAGTTGCCAATCCGCCTGCCAAGCGTGGCAACTACTGGCAAAATCCCCTAGCGGACGGCTTACGTTCAACAGTGGACAGATAAAAGCTGATATGATGATGCTGAATAATAATTAAAATTATTGACTTTTTGTAATAATGTTCATAATAAATGTGGTAACTCATCGATAAATGCAATCCTCAGGAATGGCTACGCATGGGGGGTATCATGGGCGAAACAGTATACTCTGTCATGTCCATGGTACTGCTCATGTCTATAGGCGACGGTTACCACTTTCCATCAGGTGGGCCGTCAGCTTGTTTGCCATTCAGAGTTGCATAAAAAAATTCAGGTCAAATTTTATTACTTCACTATTGATAGAATTGCATCACAATACATAATTAAAATTTTTATGAAAATCGTAGGTATTTTGTAAAGCTATATTCTCAATATTATATAAAACAAGACGACATTGAACTTTTGTAGTTTTTTTTTTTTTTGTAATATTTAAGCATTTCTAAATATATTTGAGTGAAAACTGATACAGTTTCTAGACAGCGGTCTAGTACAAACACGCCCAGTTTCCTCTAAAACTTTCTATGATAGTTGTTTATTCCTATGAATAAAATTTTCTCGTTTTGTAAGAAATAAATAATAAAATAAAAGAACAAATTACAACTGATTTTGTGAAATTTAAATAAATAAAAAAAAATTATAATCTTTTACTACATGTAAATATATTATTATAAAAGGAAATATAAGTAATTTGTTATTTTATACGTCAGCCTTAGTTTAGGTGTTACCTGTTATATAAAGGAAAATTTTACACGTTTGTATAATTTTTATTTTTATATCTTGTCAATGAACAAAGGTCAATAGTACTATCATTATTAGGTATAAATAATTAGCATATTCAAATAATTTTAACTTCCGGAACTCTTGTTTTGGTATATTTACGATAAGTATACAATTTGCTTCTTTTTTGCTCTTATATTTTTTTTTAATACTACGTAACGTATCACAGTGTCGTATAATACTGTAACATATTCTAAGAAACTAGTTTCACTCGCGATTTTGTCTCAATGAATAGTTCAAGAACATGATTAGGTTGAGTTGTTATAACACGAAGAGGTAACAAACAAACAAACAAACATACTTTTACATTTAGGTTAGATAGGTATTTAAAATATCTGACATGTGGTCTTGGCATACAATGAGCTACCCTTTCCTTTCCCAAGGATGTTATAAGAGGCAACTAAAGGGACTTTTTGGTTGAAGGATAGGCAGCAGCGTCCCTTTTAAAACATCACCAAGTCTAACTACACTTGCCAACCCGCTTGCCAAGTGTGGCAACTATTGGCAAAACTCCACCTTATGAGGCCTATGTTGAGCAGTGTACAGTAAACGGCTGATACGATGTTGATATTAATTATGTCCGCGTAATCGATACGTATTGATTGATGCGATAAAAAAGTTATTTCCTTGTCCATGCACTCTTCTACAAAATATAAATATATATTTCCATCATGCTGGATACTTTACTTAGTGGGCAGAGAGAAACAAAGTCCCTATTCTTGGACATACATATCCCATATCTATATCACATTCATATATATATATATATATATATATATATATATATATATATATATATATATATATATATATATATATGGTTTCATTCATAAAAAGCAGAACTTCTTACAATTATGTAAGAAGATAAAATTAGAATATAAGATTATTATCCGTTGAAAATGGAACGTTCTCTTTTCGGTTGGTCGTATTGATGGACCACGTCGTCTCGTCGTCATATAGTGTGATTACATGTCATGATATAATAAAAAAAATAGAATGATCATCCCGTCTGCGTTACTAGTCAAGACAAGACGTGTACCAATGAGCAATGACAGATGCAGTTGATGTCAGGTCATTAAATATGATGATATCCAGAGGAAGCCACGTGGAGGTCGATCTGACAAGTTATATTGGTACTTTAGTAACAGTGTGACTGCTATATTCCATTACTAACAATTGTCTCTCCCCTAGAGTCTTAAATTGTTAGGAACCGGTTTGAACGTAGTCAAGACTCGGTTAGTTGCGTTCTATCTATCTGGTCATAGTAGTCAAGTCTAGACCTCTTTCTATATCTATATGCTTCCACTTTCATATTAGATATCGATTTATTCATTCATCATCATTCTTTCAAATATTTCAATAAATTTTAAGATAGAGTTTTGTAATCACTTACTGATACATTTAGCAGTCAATCGTGGCATCTTTATATTTTTTTTTAATGGGTGATAATGGAATGGTAACCCTACCCGCGCTAAATAGGTAGGATATAGATAGATGAGGATGAAACAGGTCAGTTAGCCCATCGTGACGAATTTAACAAGAAATGTTCACGATGGTTTCCAGGGGGAACTACGTGGAGGTCGACCTGATAGGGCATATTGCTAACAATGTCGAACTCCATTGCTAACAATCCCTTCCCCCCCCCCCCCCGCAATTTTATTTTAAGATAATAAAGATGCCACGATTAACTAACAGTGCATAAAAGTATGAATCATTTAAAATAAAGTACATAAATGTTTACACTTTGTACTGATCACTGTTGCTTGTGTGTATTATTTTTCAATTAGTAATTTCGATAAAAAAAAATGCTTAAATTGTTAAACAATGCCAGTATTTTATAAGAGATCGTAAAATGCTGCTATTTTATTTTATAGCTGGATTTGTTAAAACGATTTATAAAAGACTTTACTAAACGCGAAAAAGACAAACAGTTTTATCCAAAATGAACTATTCATTAATTTTAAGTTACTATCTTCGATGTTCTGGATGGTTCGATGTCGGGAAAACCAGATAAGCTCGTTGTTATATCGAAGTAATTTATAAAAGCCCACGGCCTCGCTAATGTAACTACAAATGTTTTTTTTTTTTTTTTTTTTTAATACTCGATAATATATTGATTAGGATGAAATATAGCGTGTGACTGTCTAATAACGGTTATTTTTCTATTTTTATGGGTGACGATAGCTTGGTAACCCCGCCTGCGCTATCGGTATGCGCTAGCGAGGCACCCGTGAGAGATGGTAGATGAGAATGAAAGCCGGTCAGTTAGCCCGTCGTGACGAATTCAGGAATTCACAATAACTTCCAGGAGGAACAAGGAGTTCGACCTAATTGGGTACATTACTAGGAGAGTCACAAGTGGCCCGCCAGTGTATACCGATAGCGCAGGCGGGGTAACCATTCCATTATCATCTACTAAAAAAAGATACTAGGAGAGTAGGAGTTAGTAGAATTATATGGACAGGGTCTGTGGCCCCTATTTTGTACAAGTGTGTTTTGTTTAAAGGGCAATAGCCTGTTATTATCCTTATTATTATTTTAAGGTTTTTCCTAACTTAAATCCACATGTCAAATATTTTAATTAAATTTAAACTACCGAGTGAAATTTAATTCAGTGTTTTATATAAACGAAACTAAATATATTCCTAAAGAAACGACCAAGGAAAAAACTTTAAGATATTGCTAAAATAATATAACCTAAAATTAAGATACAATTGAAATCGACGATTTAGTGAAAAAAATATGTTAATATAGCTCCTAAAATTAAAATTAACATTAACGTGTCGATCAAGATCAATTGTGACTAGTTTTTCATGATTCAAAAATAGTAAACCAATTCACTATCAGATATTTGTTTTTGTTTTTTTGTTATTCAAATGAGTTGTTGATATTAATTTGATGCAAAACGTAATAAAACCGGTCTCAAACGAATGGAAGTTACTCGAATCCTGTAAATTCTATTAATATAAAGATTCAATAAATGGCAACAGGCAAAGGTCGTGTTTATTGTTACATAATATATTATTTTAATAAATACCTACATAGTTTTAATAGTTGGTTATTGTTTATATACACACACACGCGTGTGTGTGCGTGCGTGCGTGCGTGTTAAGTGTGAGTGCGTCTGTGCGAGCGTGCGTGCGTGCGTGAGTGCGTACATGTGTGTGTGTGTGTGTGTATGCATGTGTGTGTGTGTGTGTGTGTGTGTGTGTGTGTGTGTGTGTGTGTGTGTGTGTGTGTGTGTGTGTGTGTGTGTGCGCGCGTTTACATATGCGTGTGCGTGTACATTTGCGCGCGTGCGTTAGTGGGTATTAAGTACTAAAATTGGATGTTCTCTATTTTATAATATTTTTCCCAGTCTATCATCATTATCATCATCATCATCTCAGCCATTATTCGTCCACTGCTGAACATATGCCTCCCCCATAGACGGTCATAAGGAATGACCCTGAACCACCTACATCGCTGACTCCCTGCAATGCACTTGAGATCGTCACTCCATTGCCTATATAATGTTACTGCATAAATCAAATTTATTACAGTTAAATATAACTAATCAAAGATATGATGATATTGACTACTTCGTCAAAAATTCCGAGACAAGTTCGTAGTTGACAAATCTAGTGTTACGTTCACTATTCTAGCAAAACTTATTGAACCGAACAATCTTATCAAGTACTTGTTCTTTATATTGCCTCGACCGAAAATCAAAACTAGGTCTTCATTTACACAAATCAAAATGCCTTACTACACTATTGCACCATTAACGATCAATAATACCGTAATTGTTTGCAATCAAGTTATTATGCTCTCATTTGATAGAAAGTGTTACCCTGAATAAGAGCGTAGTCTAGGGTTACCACCCATACTTTATTATATACTGGCTGTATTCTTTGCTTTAACTCGCGTCAATCAATATATGTATAAAATATTCTATGTGCTAAGTTAGGATATAACCTACTTGTGTATCATATTTTATTTCAAAGCCGTTCAGTAGTTTTTACGTGATAGAGTAACAAACTTTCATCCGTACATCCATTTATCCATCCATCCTACTCATAAACTTTTGAATTTAGAATATAAACTAGCTAACGAATACCAGTTTCAATATAATATTAATTCTTTTGATGTCATAACAAATTATTATGTGCAAAATGTACATAAAAAAATCATTATTATTTTTTATTATAAAAAATTCTTTAAAAAAATTGTTAACTGTCTGTCCCAATTTTGGACATCGGTCGTAATTAGTTGACAACCCTAAAATACACCTGCCGAATAGAGTTCAATTTATGAATCAATGTTTCTTGGAAATATAAATTTCCATTGCACAAGATTTTCATATTTGTGTACTTATACGTGAATTCTTATAAAGTAAACACTTTAATGCTATATTTCATTTAGAACGTTTCTCATTGATGGATTTTTCCAATAATATCCACTATTTTATGGTATAGTAATAAGCGATAAAGTACAAAGTAGACACATTGCACGTGACTGCCCATAAAATGAAAGAAATATAATTATTTATTAACCAGAAAACAATATAGGTACCTAATATGGCTCTTTTATATTATATAATACATATCTTCTATTTACTACTACATACTTTGAACTAGAATATGGTTATAACTTTTTTTATACTTGTGGGCGACCCATTTTCGCTATTAGATACAAATGATATAAGATTATGACTAAATTAAAGGTTAAATTAGAAGCCAATGCTTTTAGCTTTTACAATGATGTTAAAATATAAAATATTTGCCACGTGGAAGCAGATTTACAAGTTCAAATATACAAAGTACTATATATAATATTACATAATTAATTTTTTCATATCAAATAATTATAAAAACTGGCTGACCTGCAGTCTGTCTCACTGTCTTCCTTATCTTCAAGTATCGATAAACAAAATAACATGGGCGACACAGTATACTCTTTTATGTCCATGATACTGTCTATGACTATAGGCGACGGTTTCAACAAAAGACGACACCGGCTTTAAAAAAAGTTTAAAATATTTTTTAATCTTATTATAATGTGATACGCAAATTATCAATACCGAGGTATTTTAATTTAGTGTTAATACATGCTTTAAATTTCAATCACAAAGCAAAATTGCAAAATTAAAGATTAAAAAATATTTAAGAAATAAATCGACTAGAAATTATTACTAAAATTATATCTAACTTAGGAATTTACTCGACTATAGATAAAAAATATCTAAAGCGTTTTCTTATAGTTGATTCAACACAAATAAATTACTTCTTTTTTTTAAAATGACTTTTAAAATCTTATTAATCTTGTAATTGGCGAATTTCATCACGTAAATGTTTTTGCTATATTATTCATATTACATTTTAAGACATTCGTATAAGGAATTAAAGAATCAGTAACAAAAAAAACGTAGCAGTCAATAGTTGACAGCTTTTTGAGGCTTTTGTTGACAATTGATGCAATCTAAATGAATAACTACAGTATAATAGAGAAAGTTTTTATACCTTAATACTTTATTGCATACAAAGAATATTATATATAATATTCTTTGTATTATATTATTATGATCAAAGGTATACAACCGGCGACCTTAATTCTGTATGAGTTCTCTTTCAGCAAATTCTGAGTGGTAAGGAACATCTCCTGATGATTACTCTCTAGAATAACCCAACATCCACCATTTGAACCTGTCCAATTGTCTAAAAGCAAACTCCATATTAATATGATTGATACATAACCTCTCTTTCCCTCTGACTATATTTCTATCAACATCAATTATATAATCACAATCATTTTATGTATTATATTAAACCAATTTAGAAAAGTTAAATTCGCAAGTGTTTCTATCGAAAATCAATAGAGATCTCCATTTTTACACAGAGTATAATAAATGACACATATAGAACGATATAACGACCTCCGTATATCGTCAAAAATAATTAGTAACACACATCTATTATGTCACCCAAGGTCATCTAGAGTAACGTGTTCGCAAGTAGGTACTATGTAATACCAATTACATTTCCTAATATTCATGCGAGCAGTCTCGGCATAACCTCAAGTGGTGTTAATATACACGTAACTCAGTGGTACTAAAGTCTAAAAATAAGGTGTGCAAATATGTGTGATAGACAATTGTTAAGGGAGAGCTCTTTGAAGAAAACAAACAAACCTGGACAAGTGAGGAGGAAGAACAGACATGTGTCGATATCAATTCCACATAATGAAAGAAACAGGTGCGTAGTCATATTTATAGTCTCATAGTATTTATTTAAACAGCTGATTCGGTTAATGTCGTTTCGCCTCATACAGCCATTTACCGAATATATTTTTTTCAACTGACTTGACTTTGGAAATGGACTTCTACCATTTCTACACAGTAAGCCAGTATATCTAGGAGCTGGTCTGATAACTAGATGCCCCATTGGGTTCCTCCCAACACTCTATCTAACTCTGTATGTTTTTAAATCAAAATGACTAGAGTTGTCACAATCAAAGTCGGTTTTTTGTGAAACATAGTCTTAAATATTATTATCGAGTAAAAACTCAAGTTTCTATCTTTCAAATTGGAATAAATAATATGAGTACAAATTTACAAAATATTTATAAAATCAGTTAAGCCGTTTCAGAGATTAGTGTGAACGAATATTATGACACTCCCTTACAAACTGGTCCTAGCTGCCAATTCAAACATTTTATATGTTTGAATTGGCAGCTAGGACCAGTTTTTATAGAAAAAAGAAAGATTTGATTTTTACGTCTTTCTGGGATTTTTTTTTTATACTTTTCAGCTGACTTAAAAAAGAAGGAGATAATCAATTCGGGTATAATATTTTATATTCGTTGTCATAACTCTGTCAACTGTAAATTGGAAAATTCTATTTTTTTATCTAAAAAGATATACTTACAGATTGATCCTAAAAAAAATTATTAATATGAGTTAAGTAGTTTAGTTTTTAAATCAAAATAACAGGTTTTTTTTACTAATTTAAGCTGGTCTTTTTTTGTAGAATACAATTTTAATTATACTTTCGAGTTTGTTGAGTTGTTATCTATTGAGAAGAGCCCGCAAGAAACTCAACAGTTACTCTTTTAAATCTCTGTTAACATATATGTATTATAAATATGTATTATAGTATATAACATGTATTATAAGATATATATATATATATATATATATATATATTTAAATGTACTGTTTAAAGGTTATTAAATAGTCAAATTAATTCAACTGTCCTCGAGTTATGTGCTTAGCAACACAGTTAATGATTCGTTTTTAATTAAATAGATAGTGTTGATTCTATGATCATTTTGTCACAGATGAAGTTGATTTTTCTGTAAGAGATGATGTCGCCCTCTGTTGTCAAAAGTTACTAGGCTGTTTTTATTATAAACTAAAATATTTAACGTGATTTACCAGACGACACCTCTGCGTGCCTTCTGAAGCATGAAACAAGTGACTATCATTTTATAAATTTTAAAGTTTATAAATTTAGACTTTTATCACAATGGGCCACCTAATTCTAAGGATCTTAAGATCGAATTGGTGTTCTATACATGAATGCGGTAAAACAGTATCCAACTGAGCTATCACTGCTCATGAACCTAAGTGACTCATTGTGACGAAATCATCAGGATTTAATGTGTGGTTTTCAAGGAGAACTACGTGGAGGTCGGCCTGACCTATTCGTTTATAGCTGTTAAGAGAGTTGCTAATCCCTCTTATAGATAGTATAATACTATACTAGCTATTACTAAACAATTTTCAGTTCATTAATTATTTTTGTATGTATGTGATTGTATGTGTGTGATTGAAGTCTGAAACATAGTCTATATGCACTCAGTATACTTGTATTTATTAACACTGAGTTCACCTTTTTATAAAAATTACAATAACAATGATTGTGATGATAAATTGTTTACAGTTTTGTATAAAATGAAGTTTATAACTTGTATAGTTATACTTGTATAGTTACTTGTATAGAATAATTAATATATACATGGTATGTATTATAGTTTCTGTCCTACTTATTTTACGCGATTTATTTTTTCGTGATTTTTTTTCCGCGAACCCTCAGACTGGAATAAGCTCCCTGCCCAGGTTTTCCCTAGAAACTACAGTATGGGATTCTTCAATAAGGGTATATTAAGATTTCGTCAGGGTCCATAACGTGCACGTGACACCCCTAGTGTCTTAGGCGTCCATAGGCTACAGTGACCATTTACCAGTAGACGGACTATATGCTTGTTTTCCGCCTTTGTGGTATAAAAAAGAAACAAATATATTCATGAATACAAATGTGATGTGCTAGGATCGAACTCACAACCGTCAGAAGCTGAAGCGAAATGTCAAATCGCTACACCATCACACCAAGAATATTTCTATTCCATTATATTCTTAGTGGTAAACTACACCAACTTATAAACTCCAAACGGTATCAAAAACTTTGTAAACAATTTAAATTTTCGATCAAATCTATTGTCACCATAACCACAGATAAATCAGTAGTACTTCCTCAACGTTGACAGTAAACACTTCTGAATACCCCATAACACATTATGGACGTGAGGATATTTTTTATGAGTACCATAATTTTTTTTATTACGTTATTACTAAAGTTATTACCTATTACCCTAGCTATTCACTTTATTGGCATTCTGCGTGTTTGACAAAATGCGTCTATTGGTAGTTGAATTAGTTGACCACGTAAAGTCTCAAGGAATGTCCTTTACGTGTATTACACACGTATTTTATCTATTGCTCTTTACAATACATAGTTTTGATAATTATTTATTAGGTACTATATACATACATATATATATATATATATTTTATGTCGTTTATTTATGTCTTGTTGGTACGCGCAATATGTGTTTATCCGCAACAAATAATTTCCACGTCACAGCAATAAATAATATTGCAGACATTCGTTTTCAATTATATAACATTATATAAAATCTACTTCGTCTTCGGTAAAATATATTATTTATTATATTTTTTATTATATAGGCGATCGGTGTCGAAACTCCATCCACTTGAACACATGTAGGTGCGTGCTTTACTTACATTTGAAATGGATTTGGAATCTGCCAAAAATCTTACCAAAGCTTATTTAAAAAAAATCTTGTCCTTTTTTGTTATTAAAATAAGTTCATAATGGGAAACAAGCTAACAACATAGGTACTTCAAATGGTATTTGTCGCCTACAGACATGAACAGCACTATGGCCATCACTGACTAGACTGTGAACCCCATAATACAATATACCTCTTGCGTTTTTTTTTTGATGGGTGAAAATGGTATGATAACTCCGCCTGCGCTAACGGGATACGCTGGTGGAGCACCAGTGAAGGCTGATAGATGAGAATGAAAATAGGCCAGTTAGCCCATCATGATGAATTCATCAGGAATTAACCATGACAGTTTCCAGGGAGAACCGCGAGGAGGTCGACCTGGTTGGGTATATACCCAGCAATATTGCGAGCAATAGGATTCTCAGTCTCCATTACTAACAATCCCTTTCCCCCCTACCTCTTGCGTTGCCCTTTATGAGAACTAAAATATTATGTCTGGCTAGTATTATATTATCTGTGGTCTGGCATACCCTGTAATTTTACTGACATACACCATCCATTAAATGAAAACATAATCGTGCAAGAACAGTTACCTCGCGGCAGAATACGAGTGAAACAAAGGTATCCACTTAATTAAGTTCTAATTATATTTTAAAAGGATTATCATATTCCTATACTGCGACGTTTAAGTATTTTATACGCAACATAGCATCTAATATTATACGTTTTTTTTATACTATTATGGTGGCAAACAAGCATACGGCCCGTCGGATGGTAAATGAGATTATCGTAGCTTATGGATGCTTGTAATACAAGGGACGCGTTCACGCGCTTTATTACAGCCTTTTATATGAATCCCATCTCTAGAAAAAACCTCGACAGAAAGGTCATTCCACAACCAAATCTATGAAAAAAATTTCATAGATTTGGCAAGAATCCTGATAATCAACTAGGTAAAAACCTAGTTGATTATCAGGATTCTTGCCATTGCAAGTGATGAATTTAACACAGGAATTATTCATAATATTATTTAGATACTTGAGCATGCTTTAGTACGTAAACATGTAAGCATTTTTGCTTGGCAGCTGGCTCTAATTAAAACCTATTTCATATTTCTACATATAATTATTATTCCTAAGTAACTCTAAATAATATTTCTTATAATTTAGGGTAAAAAAGGAATTTAGATACCCGTGATCTTAAAAGTTTGAGAGTTGAAAAGTGGTAGTACGTTTACCTCCATCTATTGACGACATGAGTAAGCTATAAATCAAAATAAACCCAACACAAACCCAGCCGGCGTAATCACAAAGCCTCCACGCAAATTATCGATTTTCAGAATACCCGCAAACAAGTTCACTGCGTATCACCTGTAAGTGACAGTTATCATTACCAGCAGTGCCTGGACTCGATATAACCTACAAACAAAAATTACAGTTTAGAATGTGCTAGATTTCTGACAGTCAAGCTTTGTTACAACGCAGACTTGTGTTTAGGTTATGTTGTCATGTGTCTGTGAAACTGTATCTGACTGAACTTGACGATTTAGTGGGGTAATATTTATAAATAAACAATGGAACATTCGACCGGGTTACACCGAAGACATTTTATAAGCACTCATGCGGACGATATTCCAATGGATACCATACGTTTAGTTTCACCTATTAATAGATTCGCTATATTCCAAGGAAACTTTAGTAGTGATGATGACGACTACCCTGAGAAGTGAGTTCTTGGATTTCTTCACGAATTATTATTATTTACCTCAACTCACTGTTATGTAAATTCAGTAAATAAACATTACATCAATTATGAATACCTAGTGTTAGTATTGGAAATGTCTATTTATTTGTTTACTAAAACATGCACAGAAAAACATATTCATATATGTTTAATTTATTACACAAGTACATTCACTGATGTAATATATGCTTACATAATAGAGAAAAATAATCATTTAAAACAGAGAAATAAGTTTAGCATAAATAAATACAATCTAATACACTACATCTACCTATATCTGTAAGCATTTTTTTATTCATGATTACTATTTAAATTATTTTTATTATCTTATTTACAGTTTTCTTCAGTATTAATTAGTAAATTAATATTGTATCAATAGATAAAATATAATTACATAAATCGTACCATAATATTAAATATGACTATCTAAAAATCCTTTTTTTTAATACATTAATTTCATATTAAATTATAATTAAAATATATTAAGTTCATAATTGTAACAAAAGATGGCGCTTAAAATAATTTTATTTATTTTGCAGGCCATATAAACTGAGGACTAAGCTAATCATCGCAGCACTAGTTATCTTGGTGTTTCTGTCAGCACTCAGTGGTTACATCATTGGCAGTGGAGACTATAAATCATGGAAAGCTTCAGAGCCACCAGATCCTTTGGTACCATTGTTACCATCACCGTCCAAGCTACATGTCTTCCAGAAGGCTGCAGTATGCACAGATTCGCCTCAGTGTTCACAAATAGGAAGGTAAGTCATTTAATAAATTATATATTTATTATTGCACAATAAAATTTGTACAAATGGCAAGCTTGATACTGTATGGCATTCTCTACAAGAATACTACTACAATTCTTTACTGTGTACTGAAAAACTCTTTTAGTGATAAAGGGTAGTTCAGACTGAATTGGTTAAGTTCAGTCAATTATAACAATATTTTACTTAATCTAAGGGCTTTCACATCCTTTAATTCAATTGTTAATAAAATAATAATTGTAACGAGTATAATCACTCTACAATAGAATTTTATGTACTTTTTTGACAAACAAAAACGCAGTTTACTACTTTTATACATATATATCATATTTGTCAAATAATAATGACAAATACAACTACTGCTGGTACTTAAAGTCACGATTATATATAATTTATATGTAAAAAAATATTTTGGTTTACAAAGAAAATAAAAAATGGCGAAGCAATCGTGATTAAATACGGCACTAATAAATAGAATATTAATTACAAAAAGAATTAACAACATCGGGTCAGAATCAACGAAGATATCAAATATATCACGTAACCATACCTACAAAAAATACCGGCGGTTTAAAAACTTTTTTAATTTTGAAGACGCTTAAAATGTAATGAAAAAAACGCATAAACGCCTATGAAAAAATTCTAAGCAAATTTATTATCTGTATTACTTGCACATCTTTTTGTATGATGGATGTATATATATATACCTACTTACTACCTATACTATATGTATTAATATATATGTTTTATTAATATTATATATAAAAATTTTGTGTACTTTAATTACCAACCTATTTAAACTAAGAAAAATAAAATTAAATTACTATTATAGTATTACATATTTAACGCAATAGTATTACTAATAGTTGAAATTCATGTTTGGTAAACACTACGCAAAAACAAATCCTATATTGAAACATAAAATTATATAAAAACAACTTGAAATTAGATAGGTGAGCAATAGGGATTATTTTCAGGGAATAATAGAAGGAATTTACTGAATATGAAAGGCAGACGCATGCAACGACTAGTAATAGAGAAAATATATTTTTTCTGTCTTAAAAATAAAATTAATATAATTACTAGACGAACGCGGCCAAGAAAATTAATGGAGGAGCATTTTTACTTTAAATTGTAATGACTCGATAACAGATGGCAGTAGTAGGTGCAGACGTGTTTTAGAATATATTTTTCGCCTTTGATTTATTACATTATGATTTCTGTTTATATCTTTGTAAATAAACACTTTTTTTATATTAAAGCTTGTTAATATTCACTTCGTATTTCATGGAAAAAGTAACATTATCGAAACGAGTAAACTTCAGCTTAATACACACATTGATGATAAAATAGTGTTGCCTTATGTAAACTTTTACTCGTAATTGAGGTAAATCTTGCTTTACAAATTTTTTTTAATGGATACTAATGGAATGGTGGTCTCGCCTGCGCTATCGGTATACACTGAGGGAGCACTAGTAAGGGATGATAGGTGAGGATGAAGCAAATCAGTTGGCGCATTGTGACGTTCGTCGTTCAATGTAACTACTTTCTATTAGATAGACCATTAGTTTGTTTACCATTCTAATTTGCATAAAAAATTGCAATTATAACATTATCGTTTTTCGTCTCATCGTTTAGAAATTATTATTATATGTTAATAAGAAACCCTAACGCCTAATATTTGTGGGAATTTATAATATTTGCGTAAGTCTTTTTTGTTACCTCATGATTATTTATATATATTTATTATTATTTATATTTATATCATACTTCTTAAGTTCTGACTTATAATTTACAATAAGCCTACAATTTTACGAACACAGTCTATAAATCACCGCCTAGATCAAAAACTAAGGAACAAAATTTATGTAAATTCCAAATAATCTTAATTTGATACTTTTTCATCCTTCCATTTTTATGAAAATTCAATTATCTAGATCTTTACCTACACTGACGACATAGTTATTTTAGAAAAAGAAAGATACTAAATTTCATAGCTCAAATTAATCAATATCTGGGTACAAAGTAAAATTATCTCAATTTTTAAGGGACAAAAATAAAATTGAATGATTTCTTATTAATTTATTATACTCAGTGATTGATAAAATAATAGACAAAAAGTTTAATCAAGCATATCTATTGAAACCGGAAGTCTATTATAAGCCGTAAGTTTATAATAATTACTTACGTTATACTACCTGATGTCATAAATTAATATTCACATTTTGTCTACGAGACAGAGGCAAAATAGGTACCTATGTAGTTATCAAGTAAGTGCCAAAGACCTCTATTCACAGATATGAAGCTTTACTGCTTCATAAAGGAAATTAAACGAACTAAAAATACATTAATAGGTATTTTACAATTTTAATCAGGCACAACAAACCGGCTTCGCACACCAACAAATCTGTAAATAAACAAATACTGCACCATAGACGTGCCCTCGTCCAATCACGATTCGAGAATATTATCGACGCGCATGCGGTCAGTGACGTGTCTCTGGCTGGCTATATAAACGCGAACGAACGTCGCCGCGAACAAATCATAAAATCAAACCGCTAGTAACGTTGTCACTGCGACAAACTCTTGTGTTTTTATTTATAAATCTAAATTCATCGTAACAATGTCCGAGACTTTCTTCGACGAGTACGATTACTACAATTTCGACCATGACAAACACATCTTCTCTGGACACAGCGGCAAACAGCGCACGAAGAAGGAGGTAAGCGAACACACAAACCACTTCGATCCGTCTGGCCATTCCAGAAAGATCGTCACTAAAATGGTGAACACGCAGAATAATAAGAAAGCAAGCAACAAGAATTAGATAAGTATGCAAAATAATAAGACAATGGCTTGTGTACGGACATACGATTTGCCGAGCGAAAGGAGGTCGTTGTGGCAGATGCCCGAGAAATTTGGGCCGCTGCTTCTCAGAGATCAATGGAACATCCAATGCGGTTCCTGCTGATGCAGAGATTCCACTCCGCATACTATAGCCACAGGAAGCAAGACCGAGGCCACGCAGAATTGAACCGGGAAGTGATTGCGAAACTATGAGTGCACACCAGTGAATTCTATTTTGGACATAACATCGTTCCATGCGACTGATCTCATCTCAAACTGGGCTTGTTGTAAAGCTCAAATTTGCTGTGTTATTAATTCCTAGTTAGATTATTATACGTTAATTTTGTATCTTTCACGGGGTACACAAAGGACTGTAATAATAATTTAAGGCAATAAATATACTTAGTAACTATTTAATAATTCGTTTTATTGAGTAATAGTAAATATTTTTGGCTCCAAGCCCCTCCGTGGTCATGTATTGTTAGCGATAATATTGTGTTAGCACCTACCCAGTCAGACCGTCATACTCGTACGCCTACGCGTTCGACATGTTTATACACAAAAACAACCTTGAAACCACTCGTGAGGTAGCTAGCCTTGTTAATCTTATTATCAGTTTACGCTGTATATTATGCTTACTTCATATTTTGCGTCGTAAAAAAAATATATATAAATTTCTAGGCATTTAGAAACTGTAAATGTAAAGCTTAAATACCTACCTGTTAAAACCTACAGTTAAGATTGCGCAATGGCCATTGTTTTGTTTCTAGGTAATTTCATTGTTGCACTCGTCTCAAATGAGCTCGTTACTATCGCAACTAGTTTAGCACTAGTATAGAGAACAAGATTAAATTTACATTTTGTTTAGCGGATAACATTTCCACGACTATCTAATCTAACAATAAAAGACAAAAAATAAAATTAAACATCGCAAAAAATAATGGATACATTACTTACCTTGATTCTTGTAATCTTTTAATACAGGTATGCTGCTGGAAGTACAAAATATCTAACTACATGAAAACATATACATATTTTAATTTTTTGTTACTTATTCGAATTATCAGAAAAATACGTAAAAAATAAAAATTCGGACGTCTATTTATTTTCCACTATGCGGGGTACCTCAGCAATGATTGCTGCTACTAGAGAGCTTACTTTATTTTGCCTTAACTAGATCCATATTAATTAATCCAAAATCAACAATTTAATTTTGTTAAGTGATAATGGATAAATTTAGCCACAGATAACATAATAGACACTGTATTAGTATTTAACAATAAATAATGAATTATTAAAATATTCTGATAACTTAATTTGATCATTGAGATTGACCATTGAGAATATTAATTTTGGTCCAATATTCCCAGATATAATAATAAGGTAGGCACATACATCGATACATACTAAATAGGAATAACAAATACCACGCGGACAAAGTCGCGGGCATCAGCTAGTATTCTTATATGATAGTATGGAACATTATCATAATAAATAGTTATTGTTTTAATGTATTTAATACATTAGGAACCTATCATCCATTCCAACATTTATGTCTACACGTATTGCACGGACCTACGCGGCGAGCGAACCGATGTAACTTGTATGCACATCTCTTGTATCAGTAAAGATAGAAAATAGACAGGAAACTATATTCCTTATTAGTATGGAGTAGAATTCAAATTTGTAAATCTACTATTCTTACAACTAATTATGGATATCACCTGCGTTCATCTCAAAATGTGTTCCAGCATCTGGATATTGCTAACGGTATGTTTGCTAACAGTTTTTTGCTCATCAGCACACGGAAAAAGGTCAAAGCCCTGGTGTTTTGGAGATACAAATATTTAATTGCTTAATATTGATTACACTAAATATTTAAATTTATTATGTAGAGTTGCGTATAGGTACTCTACATAAAACTAGGTACAAAAAAATATGTTTTAAACTGTAATTACTCCACAAAAAAATATTAACTTCAAATAAAACAAACAACCGATGTATCTCAAAATCTTTTGTAAACACATTGGACTAAAAATATTTTATTTTAGAACATTGTGTTTACAATAAATATATTTTACGTCGCAGTCAAATCAATTCAATCTTCACAAAATTAATATAAGGCCAACATATGAGGAAACTCTGTCGTTTACATAAACAAGTTAACAAAATCGGTTCAGTATTGAAAACGTAATTGCATTACATTGCCGCAAAAATTAGAGACGATTTGATAACCTTATTCTTTAGTAAGCTACTTGATAAATATATTTTAATGAAGGTAAAAGACATTTTAATAAAATGTATTAAATTTATCGGTTTATTTATGTATTTAAACTTTAATGTACCGTAAAATTCTATATATATTTGGCAAACTTAACACTGGACAATGTTCTCTACCAGTCAACCATTGGGCAATCATTATTGCGTAGAGGAAAAATAAAACAATACTTGATATATTCATATAATATAAACATATAATTAGACTAATATAAACATACACCAAATTTTATCATTTTCGAACATTCTTACATGTAAGTTTTCTGCGACGTTACATTCAAACAATGTGTCTATATTTAAATATATTTTGTTTATTGCAATGATACCTTATTTGTAATAACTGGATAATTTAAATAAACTACAAATATGGTAATAAAAAACAAGCCTATTTACAAGCCTTTCGTGGAAAGGTCAAAGAGGTCTTGTCTGTTGGGAGTGGTGCCAAGAATGCTAAACGTTATTCTGCGTTAAATTGCTGGATATGACAATCTATTGCGCAATATATTAGCTAGCACCCTTGTAACTACACTAATGGTGACAGAGATGTTGGGTTAGATACTGCAATTAAGCATTTTCTACATTTGGGAAGGCATTGTAACAGTATTTAGGAATCGCCAAATAAAAAGACTGTATTATGTACTAGTTTTTTTTTTTTTTGCTCGCCAGTTCGAACCCGTGGATAGAAAAATTAGAAGTAGGAAAACCAATAAAATTGACTGCTTCTAGATGACATTTTTTTATACAACTTAGAATGGCAAACAAGCTGACGCCCCACCTGCTCGGTTGACGGCTGCACGGCTGAGCAGTATCATGGACATAACAGAGTATATTGCCCATGATACCCCCCATGCGTTGCCATTCCTGAGGACTCAGGTGTTATTCCTCTGTACCCTATAAATTCACGCCATATCCCATCCTTCAAACCGAAACACAGCCACGCTAACACAGCTGCTTTACGGTTGAAACACGAATGGGACAGAGGTACCCAAGCAAACAACTTCTGTACAAAGACTCCCTCTGGTAAAACCTATACCAGATTTTAAGTTAGACCTTCAAAAACATAATTATGAAAATATCATCCAATTTGATAATGTAGTTTTTGCGTGATGCCGGAAAAATACATACAAACAGACAGACAAAATACTTAAAAAATATTATTTTGGCATCTATTTATTAAGGACTCTTACATTATTTTTTATTTAATATCTCCTATGTATAATACAGACATTGTATAATTACAATTTTATTACATTAGTGAAATTATTAGTACATACATATATACTCGTATCTCATCGCCAAATACTTAAAATATAAGGATACCGTATCCTATGCTATTGATTTATACTGGCGGGGTGCCAGTGAGGGCCAGCTATTGTCTACGACGCTTTCTAAGGGGGCCGCATCAGCATTGTCAAATTAGGTATTTATTTCACAATTTTATGTAAAATCTTTTTTGATCGTTCACATGGCAGTTACATGGCGAAACATAGTGAAAACCGACACAAGTTTAAAATTATGTAAAAGTGAACGAAATCATATCAATTTGAAGTAATATTTTTTTACATTTAGTTAAAAATTAAATAACAGATCTGGCAACCCTGGATCGCATAGAGGTCGACCTGACGAGTATATTGTTAGCAATAGGTCTCTCCGATAATCTCCTCTATATTCATGTATAGCATTGAACAGTTAAGAGCTAAAATCATCATGATGATCATCCTTACTAATATTACAAATATTATTTTTAAAATTTACCCCTCATTTTTTATTCGATGTCTATATTATTGTCCGACCGAATTTTCGGTTTCGGTTTCGGCTAGTTTCGTCCAGAAATTCAACTTTTGGCCTTAGTTTCAGTTTCGGTCGAAAATTGGCCGAAACTTTCGGCCGCGCCGAAACTTTGTATGTGTGTTTGTGTTATGTGTGTGTCTAACTGAAAGTTGTTATTTTTTTAAGTTTACTTCCAAGAGTAAGTCATAATTTTTACATGTTTTTACATATAAATATGTATGACATATTTGTTACATACTGTAAGTAGTGTATATTATTACCCTTTAACTATATGTGTGTTTGTGTAAATAATACCTACACTAAATTTCAATATAGAACAGAAGTTTTAGTTTCTGCCGAAACTGAGACCAAGGTCGAAAGTTCGGTTTCGGTTTCGGCTGTAAAACTTGTTTCGGTCGGACACTAGTCTATATACATATGAGAAATTAATTAACACACTGTATTTTTGTCATCAAAACGCCAAACACGCCCTAAAAAAGACTTCCCGATGAAGTGGAAACAATTATTGGAAAGGATTAAAACACAATGAGCTCATTAATTTCCCGTACATCGAATATTATAAATGTTTAAGTAGGGTTGTTTCTTACTTTATAGCGCCTTAATGAATTAACCAATCACTATGAAAATTGGTATACACGTACTATATGGGATGAAGAAGGATATAGGTTACTTTTTATACCAGTCAGTAAACATATCCCGGTCACGGACGAAGTTGCCGGTAAAAGTTAATATTAAATAATAGTGACCGGAATAATTTAATTGACCGGGATAAAAAGTCCCGGTGTCTAGTGTCTAAAGTGTCTACTAAACATTTCTTCATTAACCTACATATGTACGTTGTTTTTTGCGGAGTAAAACCAACTTCTCCGTATGGGTCCTGGCATATTATACGTCACCCCTTCCTTTCCCGTGGGTGTCGTAAGAGGCGACTAAGCGAGGGCCAAGGATGGACAGCATCGTCCTTCTTAAAACACTTCTAAACGCCTAACTTCGGTTAGAAGGGGGGAAGAGATTGTTAGCAATGGAGTATGACAGCCCCATTGCTAGCAATATGCCCTATCAGGTCAACCTCCACGTGATTCCCCCTGGAAACCATCGTGAACAATTCTTGTTGAATTCGTTACGATGGGCTAACTGACCTGTTTCATCCACATCTATTATCCTTCACTGGTGCCCCGCCAGTGTATACCGATAGCGCGGGTGGGGAACTATTTCATTATCACCTATAAAAAAAAACTGCGATTGCCAACCCGCCTGCTAAACGTGGCAACTACTGGCAAAACTCCCCTTATGAGAAAGGCATATGTTCAGCAGTGGATACTTACTTTTGAAATAATAATAAAAAAACACCATGTTAGTTGTAGAAATAACAAAAACATTTCAGTATTACAGCATAGCTAATGAGTATGTCTGGTCCAATATATACCTAACAAACAACATAAACCGCGTCTACCATACGTTCTAGTTTACTATTTCCCAAATTAAACTGGCACTATTCCATGGCACTGTTTATATTGTCGGTAAACATGTTTTAACCTAAAATTTTTGCTTAAATTACATTAATGACATATTATAAACAAAAATAGTAGTCGTACGCATAGATCTCAGAAGTAGACAAACTAATTAAATTGGGGGGAAAGGGATTGTTAGTAATGGAGACTGAGAATCCCATTACTAGCAATATACCCAACCAGATCGACCTCCTCGCGGTTCCCCCTGGAAACTATCATGGTTAATTCCTAAGGAATTCATCATGATGGGATAACGGGCCTGTTTACATTCTCATCAATCACCCTTCACTGGTACTCTGTCAGCGTATCCCGTTAGTGTAGGCCATACCACTTTCCCCAGGGGTTACCATATCACTTTCACCCATCAAAAAAAAACTTATTAAATTCTCCTCTTCTAGGTAGCGAATCAAAATTAAAAAATACATATTTTAAGTTATACTTTTAGGAATATATAACTATGACATCAGCATCCAATATGGTGCAGTTGTTTTTACATGACACCAAAGCTAACGTATAGACAAAAGGACAGTGTTTCTAAAAATTTATATTTTGGCTTATATCATTCTCTTATATAGTTTTTAATGGATGATAATGAAATGGCGACCCCGCCTGTCCTAACGGTATACGCTGGCGGGGCACCAGTGAAAGATGATAGGCGAGAATGAAAAGGCAGATCAGTTAGCCTATCGTGATGAATACACGGTGATGATGGTTTCTATGGGGGGCCACGTGGAGGTCGACCGGACAGGGTATATGTTAGCAATAGGACTGGTAGTTTTCACATTTTTTTTAAATATCTCCTATTTACAGACATTTTCTAGTTACAATTTAATTACAATAAGATTTGGAGACTTGAGTACAGTTTAGATTTTTAGGTGTAAACTACAACTATAAATGCACTTTGACACACCAAGAAAAAATACTTTTTGTATGGTATGGGTCACTCCATCCTTTTCTATGAGCGTCATAAGAGACGACTAAGGGAATTTAATTGTCGAAGGATGGACAGCAGCATCCCTCTTAAAACATTCCCAAAGTATTACTGCAGTTACCAACCCGCCTGCCAAATGTGGCAACTCTGGCTTCTTATGGAGAAGGCTTATTCAGCAGTAGACAACAACTGACATGATGATTAATGAATACTTTCAAATAGTAGAAAATATTATTGTATCCAAATTTCTCAATTCAGCAATATTTTTGAAAGCAAACAACATTTTTTTTTCCACTTGTAAACCGTTCTAATTATTTTGTTTTCCTTGCAATTTAAATGTTTAAGGCTATTCAACCGAACGGCTTATAATTAACTCGGTTATGAAATTGCACAATAAAGGTCTATCAGGTATAAGGTAAATAGTCTATCGTTGTGTCCAAGGTATAGTATCCATAATACATATATTGTTCTCTTGGGGACAATGCACTTAGTGCTGCATGTGTTTGTGGTTTAATTCACAAGGCTAACAATGGTCTGTTTTTACAGTTTTACAGTATAAAAGTAAAGGATTTAAATTTTCATACTCAAATAGCTCTAATTAATAATAAATCTCTAATATATTGAAATTAACAATTGGTAGCTAGGTAATATATTGATGGAAATTTCATAGTTTATACAAGCCAGACTCCATATTTTGAGCATCCTTTTTTCCTATTACACCAATGAAACTAAATATTTTTCTAAAATAATGAGTCGAAATACCATAATTAAATTGTGTTCCACGAAAAAAACTGATTCCAATAGTGGCAAAACTTATTATTTTGGTTTAAAATCTAAACTACCGAACCGATTTTAATAAAATTTCTATGGGACTAATTTGTAATTATATACTTACAGATAAAAGAAAGATTTTTTCAAATCGGTTTACAACTGACGGGTTTATGAGGTAATAAACATAAAAAAAATACAACCGAATTGAGAACTTTCTTCTTAAGGTTGATAAAAAAAACTGAGTCCCTATTACTAATATGGTACGTCCAATAATCATTTTGTACGTATTTTGATCAATTTTGAACTCATATTTCTTTGGCGTGTGATCCCGGCATAGAATGGGCCATTCCTTTCTTTCTCGTAGGTGTCATAAGAGGCGACTAAAGAAACTTAATGGTTGAAAGATAGACAGCTGCATACGTCTTAAAACGTCACCAAAAGCCTAACTGCCAATCCCATGTAGTTGTTAACCCAAAAGAATTTGGGAATACCCCATTTTAGGGGAGGCTTATGTTCAACAGTGGACAGTTAATAGCTGAAATGATGATGATTTCTTTGGAAAATATGCTTTGTTTCACTAGTAAAAAATTACATTGAAATATATTAAAGTACCTCAGTATTATTACGTTAAACTTACGTATTACTTTCAGAGAAATACTGTTGAAAAATGGCTCAGCTGTGGACGCTGCGATAGCTGCCATGTTTTGCAACGGATTGCTCAACCAACAGAGCATGGGATTGGGAGGTGGATTTTTCATGACGGTATACATCAAAAGTGAAGAGAAGGCATACACTGTGAACGCTAGGGAGACAGCACCGGCCGCTGCCACCGAAGACATGTTCCATGGAAACTACCATAAAGCTTCCAAAGGTATGCTTTTAACTATAATCAATTTTGTTTTAAACCGACTTCAAAAAGAGGAAGGTTCTCAATTAAGTTGTATTTTGTTATGTTTGTAACCTCATAACTCCGTAACTTCTGAACCGATTTGGCAAATTCTTTTTTTTTTATTTGAAAATCGACTCAATAGTTAAATTTTTAATATCAAAATAATTAGTTTTATCACAATTGATGGTGTTTTCCTTTTGAAATACAATCTTTTATTAATTTGTAGAGAATTTTAAATTTGTGTAATCTAGAGCATATACTGACCTGGCTTGTTAATAAGTGCTGATTAGTACTTGACGTTAATGTAATTTTAGACTTTGTTTTATATGTATATTTTTATGCGACATACATATACACAAGCTGACGGTCCACCTACGTAATACATAATTTAAGATTGTTGTCCACAATGAAACCAACTCCAGTTATTTTTATTTAACGACTAAATTACTGTACCGATTTTGATACATTCTCTATGGGACCAATCTGAAAGTATATGCTTTCAGATAAAAATAGATATTTCCAAATCGGTTTATAAATGACGGAGTTACGAGATAATAAACATAATAAAGTAATCAAATTGAGAAACTCATTCTTTTTTCAAGTCGGCTGAAAATAGTCATCAGTCACTTATAGACATGAACAATACTGTAGGCATCATAGAAACACTGTGTTGTCCAACCACTGATGCATTGCCGTCCCCGACATACGCACAGCCACATAGCGGCTGAAACAGAATTGGGACACAGAGTGGTAACCAAGTGGTAACCTTTTATGAACATTTTATTCTAAAAATAAAATCGTAGACAACAAAACCTAACTAAATGAATGAATAAAGTATTGCTCGATGTATTGCGCATTTCGGAATCACTTACGTGACTTAATAGCAACATGCCACAACGATGATCCATAAAGATAAACACGGAATATTTTACGCGTATTTATTTTACTTTATTCATAATATTCTGGATGTGTCGATGGTGTATTTCGACACTAATTGCAATTGTTCTCGCGTTGACTTGTTTAAAACAATTGTTCAAATATTATTGTGAATAAAGAATTTATGAACAAAATTATTATTCTGTATGTAAGTTTGGTTGTAAGTGCTATTGTAGGTAACCATATATCCCGTAGATCGCATTCGTTTAGATGGAGCGACGTTTTTAAAAAAACGTCTCGCAAAACTGTCGTACAATTTTTGGTCAGCGCATATTTCTTATTAAAACAAAACTAAGGGTTTTTTTACCAGTATTATTATAATTAGCTGTTTCACGAGTCTTTAATTTTCATACAAATTCATTCAACCGTTTAACGGGCTTTGTACAGTTTGAATTGAAAGCAAACCGAAAATGAATCATGACCGGCATTATAGTGTAACATTTATAATATTAATAGGGTAATCCGTAACGTGCATATTATAGCACACACCGATGATTCACGAAAGTTTCACCAGAGGGAGACTTTGTGCAAAAGTTGTTTGCTGGATTACTTCTGTACCACACATGTTTGTACTGTAACACCGTATTTGCATGGCTGTATTTCGATTTGAAGGGCGAATAGCAATAAAATTACAAAGTAAATAGGCATAATACCATAATCCTCAGAAATGGCAATGCATAAAGGATAACAAGCATCAGAGTGTATAACGGTTATTATTTTACATCAGGTGGTTTTTTTTTATACAACTTAAAATGGCAAATAAGCTGACGGCCCACCTGATGGAACGTGGTAACTGTCGCCTATAGACATGAGCAGTACCATGGACATAACAGAGTATACTGTTTCGCCTATGATTTACCCCATGCGTTGACGTTCCTGAGAACTCAGGTATTATTCCTCTGTACCCTGTAAATTCACGCCATATCCCACCCTTCAAACCGAAATACAGCCATGCAAACACAGCTGCTTTACGGTTGAAACACGAATGGGACAGAGGTACCCAAGCAAACGACTTTTATACAAAGTCTCCCTCTGGTGATGGTGGTGGTTTGTGAGTTTACTTGTCATTCTCAGTATATGCAAACGTTTACATGATAGAAATTCACGAAACAAAAATAAAGTACGAATTGTAGATCATTATTGGCGAAGCGTTTGTAGAAAGATGCTTTATCTAGATTTTAGTAATACTCGTATATACTGTATATAATGTGTATGGTATGTGTATGGTCATAAACCATACACATATCATACACATATTTATTATATCAATCATTAACTGTCCATTGCTGAACATAGGCCTTTTCCATAAGAAGGATTTCGCCAGTAGATGCCACGCTTTGCAGGCAAGTTGGCAACCGCAGTTAGGCTTTGGTAATGTTTTAAAAGAGACTTTGCTACCCATTCTTTAACCATTAAATTCCTTTAGTTACCTCTTTCGACATTCCCGGAATAGGAAGGGTAGCCCATTCTAAGCCGGGATCACACAGCTATAGATATATACATAGATATAATTTATAATTTCAAACAAAGATTTCCTTTATTGTTCTTATATGCAACTTTAATATTGTAGGAATTGAGGACTGTGAACTGAGTTCATTTCATTTTATACATTTATTTTAATTTCCTTGTGTATGTGTCTGTATTATTATATTGTTATCATTTTGTGTTCAATATGTATTCTAGTTTATCAAATGTGCTCAATGGAAATTTTATAAAGTATCTACCTACTTACGAAATGTATTAAACAAAGTAAAATATTAAGAAATGTTTTATGTCTATTTATAGTATTATAAATTGCTTGTAGAAAACTTTTTATGTTTTTTTTTATCAACCGACTACGAAGAAAGGAGGAGTTTATCAATTCTGTTGAACATTTTAAGTTTGTTACCTCATAACTCCATCATTTGCAAACTAATTATGAAGTCTTTTTTCATTTAAAAGAATATTCTTTCAAATTGATTTTGTAGAAGTTTTATCAAAATTGGTTTAGTAGTTTAGTTTTTAAATAAAAATAACTGTTTTTGCTTTGACTGAAGTTGGTGTTTTTATGTATTATGTTTTGTTGTGTTTTGACCAAATATCTTGATATTATTCGAGAAATATAAGTATATATTAGTTGTATATCGAAGAATTAATGCTGTTATAATATAATAAATACAGTAGAGATTATCTGTTTGTTATACATACGAATAGATAGGAAAAGAAGCGTTTCAAATTGTTTATGGAACTAAGACTCAATCGACCTGCTTTCTTATCACATATTAAAATACTTATAAAAAATATCAATTTATTGTGGGTTTATCACTATATACCTATACCTAATTTTAGAAAGAAGTTGTTTTTATGGTTTAAAAAATAATATCTAAATACCTACCTATACCTAAGTATTGAGATTCCATTTATTATGACTTGTACATAACTATTTGTTTATAACACTTTAGTAGATAGCTAAAAATAATTACAATTATTTCGAATGTTAGATTCAAATTACAAATAACAATATTAGAAAAACTAATTTAGGTACGTTTGCTTGATCTTGCAGCAACCCTAGTCTGTCGAAGTCTCACATTTATGTGACGATCAACTTTATCGAGCTATTGACATAATTTATTGATAGCTGTACAATTCCCGCTAGTTTGGCCTCGTGCACTTACAAACATTGTTGTTCATTCCTAGAGTTATTCTTTGGTTTCACACATATAGTCTATTTTAATAGAAGTTACCCAATCAAAAAACGTTTTGCCGATATTCAATAGTAGTACAAATATAAAATCAATTAATTGATTGAGCGTTTCGTTTTGTTATTAATTTCATTTAGATTAGAGATTGTTTCTCTAATATTTTCAACAAAACTGGGTTACTTTTTCGTTCTATTGAAACACGAATATGAATGGATGAAAACTCTCTATTATTCCCTTCAAGGAATGATACAGATTATAAAGATTAACAATATGAACGCAGACAAAATGACTAACGAATTAAATAAACTTAATTACATAATTATCCTAATCAGAAGATTCCCGTATTTAAGTATGACCACAAACTTTTTTTTCTTTATTTAAGGGAGTTTATTCTTATTTGAATATGTCACCTCCATAGGTAAACATAATACGATGTTATTGTATTGTAATGCAAAAACTTATAGTATGATGAATTACTATATGCTGGCTTGTAATACAAAATAGTAAAAAACTACTGGGCATCCTCCTCAGATATTTAAGGTTATCGTACCATCTAGTAGGGACAGTTCAATCAACTGTGATAATATATATATATATATATATATATATATATATATATATATATATATATATATATATATATGTGTGTGTGTGTGTGTTCCACATTATTGTCAAAATAAATAAGGAAGAAACTAAAACATATACAGGTATAATGTAGTTTCCAAAATTTAAACCTCGCAATCGAGACTAAGATATGTTCGTGCAAAATTTCTCCAAAGCTTTCTCTTATATCTGGTTCAGCCAGGTTCGAGTTCTGAACTAGAAGTTAGTACGCACTGTCAACTTTTCAATGTATTGTATTAATTGCCTTCAGGCAAAGTTGGTATTGTGTTTGATAATATATTATTTATGATATTGCATATATATATATATATATATATATATATATATATATATATATATATATATATATATATATATATATATATACCTTATGTTTTTCAATCCGAGTTACGGTTCAATACCTTTTATGATTTTTGTTTTTTGTAAAGAGTGTACAGTAGCTTTCTCCAGTAAAATAAATTAAAAAAATTGATTTACTAGAAATGGGACTAGTGGTCCACATTACAAACAATCTCTTCCACCCTATCTATGCGTATTAAGTGTATATACATAATAGCTATCTATATATTTATAGTATTTACTCTCTCATCTGAAGGTGTTACATCTAATTGATAGAATCATTATGACACATCGTATGTTTCTAATTAAGTTATCAATGCATTTTATCTCTTATTAATGAACCAACTGTTACTCGCTGCCTTGCACTCATAGTATCATGTTTACCTTTAATAAGTTGAAATTACTAATAATCCATTTTAATTGTTACTGACGTTATAAAATAAACAAATATTCCAAATGTCAACCTTCTAGACTTGGTAGTTTTGGCTATGTATTAATAGTCAGTCAGGGCAAACGCTTATATACTTAAGTATAAATTTATATATTTATTATTATAAATAAATATATGTACTCGTAATAGTATCATCGTTTCACGCTATGATATACAAGTGAATTAATTTTCGTTATGCAAAAATGTGAAAGCGAAGCTCTTTTGATTGCAATAATAAAAAGTGCTAATGAAATGCGTTATCTTAAAACATTTTATTGTTTATGAACATGCACTACCTACGTACATTACCAGAGTTTCAATTTCGTAACACTCACATTAAATTTAATGATAAGTATCGACGGAATTTACGAAGATCAATAAACAGACAACAACTTATATATATATATATATATATATATATATATATATATATATATATATATATATATATATATATATATATATATATATATATATATATATATCCCTATATACAATTTATATCCCTTACATGTATTTACTTCTATATATATCATATATATAGAAGTAAATAGAAACTATAGATATAAAAATAATTCAATGAATTTTTAAATTAATAATTAATAATTAATTTAATTTAAAATATAATTATTACTCATATAATATTCCACAGGTCCACTATCAGTAGGAGTCCCTGGTGAACTCCGTGGACTATGGACGGCATATAAACGCTGGGGCAAGTTACCATGGGAGAGCCTGCTGGCCCCAACGTTGGAGATTTGCAATAACGGCTTCGTAATGTCGAAAGCGATGTACGACGGCCTGGAAAGCGCTCCGTTCATCAAGAACGATCCTCAACTGAGGTAGGAAAGAGGAAGTCACCTTCTTTAATGTTGTTGCCGGTAGTGGGTTGGTGTTTCCTTCCTATTAACAATATTTGTAGACGCCTATATTGTAATTGCTTTTTAGGGGTCAGTACTTAAAAAAAAAAGAAGTAAACCATATGAAAAATTGTAACTTTTTCCAATACTCGTAACTTCCCAAAGTTGCTTAAGTCCGCCTTGTATGTAGGTATATATATTCTGTCTATCTATCTATGGTATATATATCTATCTATGGTATATATATCTAATGTATATTTGATGTGGATTAAAAAAATTGAATAAATTTTCATGTAATTATGAAATTCTTAACTTCAGAAGATGAACTTCAACTCTAAACTTCATCGTTGTAATATTTATTTAAAAAGTAATTGATTTTTTTTTTATTTTGGTAATATTTTCTTGTTTAACTTGATTATAATAATTATGTATAATAACTTATGGTTAATTTATACAATTTAATAAAAGTTTTAAATACAATTTATAAAAAAAATATAAATTAGACCAGTGCCGTAAAAAATTGTTATATAAAGACATATTTGTCAATAAAATTTTACAGATTTCCATTATCAGTTGTACGTATATAAATAAGTTTAAATGTAATATTTTTATAGTAAACAATATTACAACCCGGCCAAAGGACAGTTCCACCGGCCAGGCACGACGGTGAAGCCAAGCGAGGCACTATGCAATACATTGCATCGGATCGCTGAGAAAGGCGGCGATGAACTTTACAACGGGAGCCTGGCGAATGACTTCGTGGAAGACTTGAACAGGGTTGGCAGTATCATTACCGCGGATGACTTGAGAAATTATGAGTAAGTCGTTTTAATAATTAATTATTTTTTTGTTTTAATTGTACTTTTTAAATTATTTGTTGTCACGTTCACGTTGGACCACGATTGAGCTATGTAATTATTTTCTCGTCCTGAGTCCTAAATTTATTGTAAGTTGCCTTTTTCTGGCTTGTCATGTCTCTAGAATTCTAATTAGAACTAGGTTGCTTTCAATTTAAATTGAAAAATTCGTCTGACCTCAGGAATTTTTCATCATTATTCAATTAGAAATTCTCCGATTGATAATTAAAAATTATGTCCCACAAAAAAATACTGAATTTAATTGTGACAGAACCAGTTATTTTGAGTTAATAACTGAATTAATAAACCGATTTTGCTAAAATTTCTATAGGACCAATGTATTAATATGTCCTTTCAGATAAAAAAATAATTTTCCAAATCGATTTAGAAATGACGGAGTTATGAAGTAACAGACAAGAATATACAACCGAATTGACCTCCTTTTTTCGAAGCGGGTTCAAAAATGACGCGCTTTGTTTTCATTAAAAAAATATGGGTCACCAAAAATATTTTTGTATAACGGTTTATTCACATTTTGTCGCTTAATATTGAATGTAATGATGGGACTGTGCTATTAATAAAATGAGCCGATGGCACTTGTTACACTCGTATCCTTAAGGTTAGAAAGCGAATTCTAAAATACAATAATACTACTCTACAAAAACAATGGAGTCATAAAATAGCTGCTATTCATACAGCATACATAATGATTTGACGTTCTAGAATTTAATCAAGTACTACAACAACAAACTACGCTTCATTAAAATTCTTTGCCGATAACGTTTTTCTGTTGCAAGTGTTTTAACGTTTAGCTTATTAGCCTGCGCAGACGGGGAACAGCTTATGCTTGGACACAATCTCCTTTTTTTTTTAAGAGCTCAACAAAATCACATCGCTGTTCTATATCTTTAAACTAAGATGTTTTGTATTAGGACTTATAATACAAAATATCATAACTTATGAGAAACCGGGTAACGAATATCTGAGGACATTACTCAGAACACCTAGATCCGAACTAATATAGAACTGATCGCTTTTTTAAATTAGCCCGATCGAAAACCCAACTCGGAACCTCATTTACACTCAGTAACGTGTCCACCACGACGTCACGAAGTCGGCAAACGGTATTTTTTTATTGGATGATAATGAAATGGTAATCCTGTCCGCGCTATCGGTGTACACTGGCAGGGTACCAGTAAGGGATGAAGGTGAGGATAAAGTCAGGTCATTTAGTCCATCACGATAACTCTGACAATAATTAATCACGATGACTTCCAACCGCGATGATTGATGAACAACCGCGTGGAGATCGACCTAACAGAGTATATTACTAGCATTCCCATTACTGACAATCCTTCTCGCTCCGTCAAAAGGTATTTGCCTTGCTCTCTCAGGTTTTTGAGACAGGAGACAATTTTATATGTAAACTTTAATCTAGTCATAAAATTCCTAAACTTGTACGCTACAGCTACAACATATTATGTATGCTTGCACGGCTTACATAGATAAAATTTAATCCGCGAGCAGAATGTTTATAAAAAAAATCCCAAACGCAAGGTTAAATATTTTAAAATAAGTGTCCACCGTCTGTCCAGGCTTTTAATATACGTATAAAAAAAAATTGTGAAGGTTTGTTATTAACAATGCAATGATGTCACCTTCTTTTCTTAACACCTGAGTAAACGTTTTGATTATACATAAATGATACTGACTCACACACACACACACACACACACACACACACACACACACACACACACACACACACACACACACAACAACCACACACACATGCACACACACTCATTCATAATACTTATTTATACATGTGTATTTTTAAATAAAACAATTTTTTATACAGTTAATATTATTGTGAAATTATTGTCGATTCATTTATAATGATAAATTCTGTGCTAATACAAACATACTTTGTTAAATAAATAAATAAAAAAAAAAAAAAAAAAAAAAAATTATTGTCGATTCATTTATAATGAAGTAGGTAAATAGAGTAAGTAGTGTTTATTGTTTTTAACGTAAATGCGTTGTATATAAATTCATAACGAAAATATAGTCTTAATATTATTGTTGTCTGGCTGTATTCTGCGACCTCACTCGCCTGAATTAGTATATAAATTATCCTATGTACTAAATTAGGAAACAATCTACTCGTGTACCAAATTTCATTCAGATTTGTTAAATCGTTTTTACGTGAAAAACTATCCAACTTCCTCCATCCTTATAAAATCTGTAGAGAAAAAAAAGGCGGTAGGTATTGGGCACAATAAGTATATTTATTTATTTAACTCTTTATTGCATCATAAATAAAAATATACAATGACAATTAAACAATTCAAGTGAGATACAGTATATATCCTTTTTTCTTATTCTAACAATATCTTTTAAGTATTACTACCTGTACAGGATAAATATCCTTACTTACCAATTTAGTGTATTTTTCTTTATAATAATGCCGTGATAATTATACAGCGTAACTGCGTTTAATCACGTACACATTAGTCGATTACATTTCATCGCTGAAGCATAAAGAGGTAGGTACTTGTTAACCCTGAAAGATGTCGATGGAAGTAGGTACAAGGTTTATTAGGTTAAGGTATTATTATTGAATAATATTGAAAATATATCTATAGTCCGTTTCAATAAAAATTTATGATAAAATAATTGACCCACTCAAAAACTGTCTGTTAATTGTTTATTTTTTTTATACTACGAAGGTGGAAAATAAGCATACAGCCCGTTTGAAAATAAAAGATTACAGTAGCCTAAGGACACCTGCAACACTAGAGGTAATATCTAATATATTATTTTTGAAAAACCCTATATATCCTATAGCTTGAGCGTTTGCGGGAGAAATTTCCTTTTTGTTGATAATTATTTTCAATAATAGTATAATATAAAACCGATTAATTTAATAAATATTTCAACGTTTTATTCACTGTCATTTAGAGAGTGTTTCATCAACTTTTTTTTTCATTAATTTTCTCGTTTTTAATTCACTAGTGGTCGCATTTTGGAGAATTTTGTTACAAATTCACATAGAATCCCAAGTATAAATGTACCTAGGTACATTTATACTTGGAATTTCCATTCGTGTTTCAACCGTGAAGCAGTTGTGTTTGCATGACTGTGTTTCGGTTTGAAGGGTGGGATATAGCGTGAATTTACTGGGTACAGAGGAATAACACCTGAGTCCTCAGGAATGGCATGGGGGGGTGTCATGGGCGAAACAGTATACTCTTTTATGTCTATGGTACTGCTCATGTCTATAGGCAACGGTTACCACTTTCCATCAGGTGGGCCGTCAGCTTGTTTGCCATTCTAAGTTGTTTAAAAAAAAGAGTATTTAGATACTTTTTTTAGTATATTTAAAATTGGTTTTGGTCCTTGGCTTTGTCTATTTTATGTAATAAAATTAAAATAAATCTGGTCAGCATGAATGGCTGCCTATTTGAAAACAAATATCTTAACTAATTTTCACATAACGTACCCAAGATAAAAAATTTAGAAAATAATAAACAACATACAGATATAAACAAATATAAAAATATGTTTATAACACATAAAACAGTTGAGTGACTATCTAGTTTCGAATTGAATTTGATGAATAATTTATTTCGTCATAAATTAATCACGCGAGATGATAATTTGATTACGTATTCGTATGATTTCTCATTTCTTACAAATATGATGATATTTATTGTTTCACAATAAAATACGTACATTTTATATCTTATCAGTTATTATATTCTTAAACATTAGATATAGCATTTAATATTATAAATATTAAAGGCTTTTCAAGATAATCCACGAATCTATGATACGAATTATTTTGTACTCGCATCAGCTGTTTGTTTGTATACATAGTATGTTATCATCATCATCATCATCACCTCAGCCATTGTCCGTCCACAGATGAACATAGGCCTAGTATGTTATACAGTATGTTAATTAATGTAATTCATTTCCTAAAGCTAGTGTTATCTGTATCAGCGGCAATACATAATAATAGGTATGTACACACCTTATACTGTCTAATGCCGTTGGTACAGAGGAAGGGATTATTAGTAATGGGACCAACCCCATTGTTATCAATATACCCTATCAGGTCGAGCTCCACGCGGTGCCCCCTGGAAACTATCGTGACTAATTTATCATTGAATTCGTCACAAAAGACTGACCTGCCTTTTCATCCCTCACTTGTGCCCCGCTAGTGTGTACCCATGGCGCGGGCGAAATTGCCATATTATTATCATCCATTAAAAAAGCCTTTTGTTTTTCTTTTTTCTTTTAGGTAACATTTTTTATTTTTATTTTTTGACCCTATTAATAAACACTAACACTATTTTTAAAGAATATGTTATATATATATATATATATATATATATATATATATATATATATATATATATATATATATATATATATATATATATATATATATATATCAGAAACGCTTGTTTATTCTTTATAATATAGGTATTTAACACAAAATAGGTATCTTTTCTTCATTTTAAATTCAATGTCATTAGGTAAGACTGTAGGTATATATCTAATGTGAAATAAACAGATTATGAAGGTCGCTTTACTGATTTGATCGCCTTGAGAACAATGTATTGTCAATACAATACAATATTATTGTATTATTCCTACTCATTTGTAAAGTAAATAGGTAAATAATTAGTAAATAATTCTATAAATTGTACCAAACAACTAACTACTAAAATCTGATTATGTTAAATATTATATTATGCTCAGCAAATCACTTTTTCATAATACAAGTAAGATTGCTACCCTGTCAGGTCGACCTTCACGTGGCACCCCTAGAAACCATCGTGCTGAAAACCAGGTGTTTTTATCATGAAGGGCATGTCGTTGTTGATGGGTAAACCTAGTCAACCAAATAATAACGTCGGGAATAAAAACCAGTTCAGCCAACGACACATTCAGAACTATCTCTCCATAGAACTCAGTTTCAGGTTGTTTTTGTAACCCGTTAACAAAAACAGTATGGAGTTCCAAGAATTGAAATTAAAAAAAAACCTAGTCAATCATTTTAGTTAGTGTCTATGGAAGCACTTATTGTTGAATAAGTGCTTCCATAGACTAGATAACTTTGTTATAAATTATTATCTAATCAATTACCTATTAATATTTATAATGACCATATCAATATTAGACATCTTTATTTTATTTTACCACTGAGGTGGCAAACAAGCATACGGCCGACCTGATGGTAAGCGATTACCGTATCCTATGAACCCCTGCAATACTAAAAGTATTACGCGCGCATTGCCGACCCTGAAGAAATCTCTTTTGAAGAACCCCATGCTGTAGTAGTCTCATGGGAAAATTATTTCTACAATAAATATGGATTTACTTGGCAATTGCACTGCAACTTTCACATTACTTTCATATTTATAATATTAATAAGGATAATAATTTTATAATATATATTAAATTAAATTTCTCATGGAAATTTTCTATTATACTTGACAGGGCAAAAATTGTGGAGCCACTCGTTGTGCATCTCGGAAACGGCGACATTCTCCACGCACCGCCGCCGCCGAGCAGCGGCGTCATACTCGTGAACATACTCAACATACTCCAGGGATACAACTTCACCTCCAAGAGTATCAACACAACAGATGACAAGATACTCACTTACCATAGGATATTAGAGGCCTTCAAATATTCCTACGCGACAAGAACTAAATTGGGAGATCCACTTTTTCTGGATTTAAAAGAGGTAAAATAAACTTTAATATTATAGAATGAGATGCATTTTAGTTTTTTTGTATTTACCTAACAAGCTAAAGGTTCATCTGATGAGAAATGGAACTGTCACCTGTAGATAAAAAATAGTACAATACATCACAGTGCTGATACAAGTTTCTGTACCCCATAATTTCATTGTTTTCATGTCCAAAAAACAAGATGGTAAGGTGGCGAAAGTTGTATAATGCGAAATTGAAAGGATATAAGTATAAGAAAGGCTAATATAGAAATACTTAATGTGCTATCCGACAGAAGTAACAGAAGCCTCTGGAGCCGATCTGTAGGATGAAACGAATTATGAAAGTGAATGAAGTAAAAGAATTAATTAATTTAATTTGTAATCGTAATGACCTTTAAATACCTAACCTACATATACACAGATGGGAAAGGGATTGTTAGTAATGGAGACTGAGAATCCCATTGCTAGCAATACACCCAATCAGGTCGACCTCCTCGCGGTTCTCCCTGGAAACTATAATGGTTAATTCCTGATGAATTCATCATTAGCGTAGGCGGAGATATCATACTATTTTCACTCATAAAAAAATCGGTTAAAAACAATATTAATTTACAAAATTTAATTAAAAACAGTCGAACGATAACGTACTCGTAGATTAGTTTGAACGAACATCGTGACACAGTATCTTTATATATTAAGATTACTTCGAGTACAACGTACCGCTATCTCATTCCAGTTGATCCAGAACGTAACAAGTTCCGAGTACGGCGCGTCGATACGGCTTCGCATCAACGATACTGCCACCAGTAACAATACAGACACGTACGGCGCCACCCAGTACAACAAGCCTGACGCTGGCACTGCACACATCTCCATCATAGGCATCAACGGAGACGCTGTATCTGTTACCAGCTCTATTAACTTCTAGTAAGTAAGGAATGTGCCTGTGTGGTCCCGGCATAGGATAGGTCACCTCTTTCTTTCCCGTGGTTGTCGTAAGAAGCGGCTAAGGATAAGGCAAGAGATGGGCAGCAGCGTCTAACATTTCTAAAACCTAACTGCGATTCCCAAAACGCCTGTCAAGAGTGGTAATTACTGGCAAAACCTCCTAAAGGGGAGGCTTATATTCAGCAGCGGACAGTTTAAGGCTGATATGATGATGACGATGACGTGAATGATGACAATGATGAACGACGATGAATGACGTAATGAATGATTGAATTATTTGAAGAAGTATTTCCGAACCGATACGACAACATAGCCTTCGAGAAAAGAGTATATTCCTTTTTAAAAGGCTGGCAGCACACCTGCAGTGCTGCTGGTGTTGTGGGTGATCATGGGTGGCGATAGTCATTTACCATCAGGTGAGCTGCATGCTCGTTTGCCCCCTGTGCTGTAAAAAAATACTTTATTTGCATTATACAATATAGGGAATAAGCAAGACTATAAATGTAACGATACAGTAATAATATAATGAATTTTGGAGCGCTCCGTCTCATAAGGTTGTCTGACCTTGTTCTAAATATTGTAATTCGATACAAGACCAAACTCATCAAAAAAGGATATGAGTACATTAATGTTGTCATCATATCAGCCGTTAATCGTCGATTGCTGAACATAGGCGTCTTCTATTGGGGAGTTATGTCAGTAGTTGTCACTCTTGGCAAGACGAATTGTCAACCACAGTTATGCTTTTGTTTATGTTTTAAAAGCGACGCTGCTGCCCATCCCTCTACTTAATTAAGTTCCTTTAGTCGTCTCTTAAGACGCTCATAATAAAGAAAGGGATTGCCCATTCTATGCCGGTATGACGGGGTTAATTTTCGAAGTTAAAATTAAGCCTATTAATTAGACTAGTCAGTTTATAGGCTAAAGAAGCTAATCGTAGACAAAGACGGTATCAAAATTGCAACCCAAGGGTCATATGAATACCAGAATTTTAAATGCTATATCGTCCATTGCTCAATATAATGGACCTCCTCCATAGACCGCTATAAGGGGCGGTCCTAAGTCATATGCTATCTTGCAATAAGTACATTTATTGCTTCATCTAATACCTATTATACTGTAATATTTGTTTAAACATATTTACATATTTTCTCATAATAACATAGCAAATAGACAGATGTTAGTTCTAAAAATTACCAATGTTCAAATGTTTATTTACCTTCCTAGCTAATTTACAGACTTTTTATTACGCGATTTTATTTGTATAGGTATTAATGTTCACAATTATAACGTAATAAGCATTCAAAGTTGCATCAGTCCAATATTATTTTAGATAACATTTATTTGTAATAATTTATGAATATTATATATTACGTATTGTGTCTTTCACCTATTTATTTACAATTTATCTGTTATTATTTATATAATTTTTAATTTAAACAAGATATCATATCTGTTTATTTACTTCTTCGCCAAGCGAGCGAATCCTTGAATCTTTAACATATCAGAACGTTATATAATTTCTCTTTTATTTACAATAAAAATAACAAACTGATATATCAACACAGATAAAAATACTTGAAATACCTAATAGTAGTAGCGGATAGGTATTACAGATATTTAGTATAGATATTAATATAATAATGGTATGGTTATCTTGTCAACAAACTTTATCGCAGAACACAAATATAAACAAAAATACACTCACGAGTATCAATCTTACTTAATACATATATATTATAATTCGCCAAGGGTATTAGAATTCAACGAAGCTTGAAGCGAGCCTATCTACCGCCCTCACCGAATTAATTTAGATTAATGTTTTGCATCAAGTACTCAAAAACTATGACAGCTATTTCGGCAGTCGAGCAATTTTCATTATTGTCGTATTGTGAATTACCTGCATACCAATTATTACATTATGGCCCGAAAACGGTCCATTGTCGTATTATAATGAAGCAATTTGCGAGAAAATTGGGAATTTTATTTTTATTATTTTGTTTTATAGTTACGGCGCCGGCTTCACAACCCACACCACGGGTATCGTGATGAACAACGTGATGGACGACTTCTCTTCACCGGGGATCACCAACTACTTCGGGCTGCAGCCGTCTCCTGCCAACTTCATAGCGCCTGGCAAGAGACCGCTCTCGTCCATGAGTCCTAGTATAATAACAGATCAAAATGGCAATGCCAAGATGGTGATCGGCGCCTCCGGTGGCACTAAGATTACAACGGCCGTCGCTTTGGTAAGTTGCTAGTTACTTTGAAAATATTTTTTTACTAACGATCCGCCTCAGCTTCGCACAGAGATAGACAGAAGTCTGTATTTTTTTTTTTAATAAAATACAACCCTTACATCTTACATATATATTCCTCGCTAATAATGCAGCCAATGTAGTTTCTTTAGTAATCAGTCAGTAATGAGGAGAAAAATCTTAAGAACCGATGCGTTCATAAGCCCGAATCGAATTGTGAAAGTGTATATAAAGACCGAACTGCTTAAACAAGTTACAAACGAATCTAGTTGTTCCGTTATCTTACGCGTGACAAAAAAAAAGCCAAAAGTTGCTGGTTTAGCTCATGAATTTGACAGCAAAAACTTATATATTATTGATTCGTTTGTCGTTTAATTAGTGAGGTTAGTAATGAAAGAGGTATCATCATCATATCAGCCTTTAACTGTTCACTGTTGAACGTAAGCCTCCCCCTTGGAGGGGGTTTGCCAGTAGTTTTTTTTTTTTTATACAACTTAGAATGATAAACAAGCTGACGGTCCACCTGATGGAAAGTGGTAACCGTCGCCTATAGACATGAGCAGTACCATGGACATAACAGAGTATACTGTTTCGCCCATGATACCCCTCATGCGTTGCCATTCCTGAGGACTCAGGTGTTATTCTTCTGTACCCAGTAAATTCACGCCATATCCCACCCTCCAAACCGAAACACAGCCATGCAAACACAGTTGCTTCACGGTTGAAACACGAATAGGACAGAGGTACCCAAGCAATCGACTTTTGTACAAAGTCTCCCTCTGGTAAAGGGAGACTTTGCACGCTTAGCAGGCGGATTGGCAACCGCAGTAAGTATTTAGAGATGTTTTAAGAGAGACGCTGCTGCCCATACCTCTTATTCCCTGTGTCGGCTCTTACGACACCCACGGAATAGGAAAGCGTGGCCTATTCTATGCTGGGACCACATGGCTACTATAAAATAGACATAATAAAGATTAATAAGAATTTCAATCAGAATGTTCAAAAATCACATATTAAAATTCTGTATATTTGCATATCTTTCTTGAAAATTTGTCGTAGATTGTACGTAGATACTGTTTATTTAATTTCAGGTTACGATGCGTAAACTCTGGTTTGGCCAGACGATAAAACAGGCGGTAGACGAGGCGAGGATACATCACCAGATATTCCCAATGATAGCAGAGTACGAATACGGCATTACTGAGGTAAGTTCTCAATCGACTTCATAAAAAATGTATGCTTCTACTGTCAAAATTACCTTGTGCTTAAGTGAATTAGTAAGTAGTAGATAACCTGTTTAAATATTATGGGAAGGACAAGTAAAAAAAAAAAAACAGAAACGCCAAATTAAACATTCTTAAAAAAAGATCACAAAAGAGAAAATCGATACCCAGTTATTTTAAGAGAAAATGGAATAGTAACATCGCCTACACTTTATATGTATACTGGTGATGTACAATCGTTTTAATTATTTCATACTAGATATATAGCTACTTTACTTTATCCAATTGCATTTAAAAATAAAAACAATTTTATTTACGATAACAGTCAATCTATATGTGCAAACCACTTAATCCATGTCTAATAATATCTGTTATCACGTACTGAATAATAGATTAAATCTGTCCCATTTATCAAATCAGTCGTAGTCTTTTTTTATGTTCTTATTTTGTTAACACAAACATGACTGATAAATTGATAACATTTGTTGTCTAATAATCACGAAATTTCCAGAATAAAAAGGTTATCTTAAAAATATATCTAGTTTATTGGGTTATGGGGAATATAAATATTTTTTTATGTTCCTTAGAATGGCAAACAAGCTGATGCCCAAACTGATGCAAAGCGTTAACCGTGGCACCTTGGACATTATAGAATATTTATTTATTTAGGTTTACCAACAATTGTTTCCACAAAATAATGTAAATATATATACAATTATGGAGCTTAGAACTAAGTGTAACAATTTTTTATAGGCAAACACAGCATATATTGATACATGTATAACAATAAGTACAGAGAAATATATATAGCTTACATCTATTATTAAATACTTAACAACTAACAACTAAAGCCACCATATCCATAAGCAGATCCAGCAGCACGACTCATTTTATATATTTATAGATATTTCGTACAAAAACAATTGGAGTATCAAAATTAATATCGACCTGGTCACTGCAGCTATTTATAATCTTACAGAACCTTACTATTGGAGAATTACTACCCAGAACAGTTCTTCTAAATGGAGGTATTAGCGGAGTTATGGGTCCACGAGGTAATCTAGAAGGGACTCGCAATTTTACAAGGCTTAATAACTGAGGACAATGTAATTTATATGTTATAAGTTTATACATAAATATGGCGTCAGAGACTCCTGCGTTTTTCTAATGACATCATCCTAAAGTACTGCAGCCTGGCCTTGTAGGATTAAATTTTTTTGGCAATACCAGTGGAAAATGCCAAGTGCCATAGGAATAGCTTCTGGATACGTTCCATACGCAATATATGTGTAGCAAAATGTGGGCGCCAGACCACGCTGCAATACTCCAAGACACTCCGCACCAGGCTGTTATAAAGTATAATTTTAATGTTACTATTATGAAATACTTTACAGGTTCTTATAACAAAACCAAGCATCCTTGAAGCTTTATTAATAATGTTATTTAGGTGAGGATCAAACGTTAATGGTTGATCGTATAATACACCTAGATCACGCATACTTCTACTCTCTTCAATTATTTCATTTTTGATTCGGTATTGTGAATATATTAAATTATGATTTCTACGAATGCTCTGTGATACCCATGGTTCCTTCATGTGCTGCCATAAGTGTAATAGTGTTGCCTCTGTACCCTGTAGTTTCAATGCCAATGATACATTTTTGAAACCTTCTGTGCTAGTCAAAGGCCTTTAAAATTGTGAAATCATAAAATCTCTATTTTCAGGACATATTGGAAGGATTACGGAAAAAAGGCCACGGTATGGTTCGCTACAGAGGTAGAGGGTCAATCGTCTGCGGCCTCTACAGAAACAGAACGGGGATTTATGCAAACGCCGACTTTAGAAAAGGCGGTGATGTTGCCGGTATGGATTAGAGAACTGATTTGATATGACATGATTTAGATGTAAGCGTAAATCAGGCTTTTGTCTGACATTTTAGATTTTAAAAATCGACTACAAGATCTACGTAAGTAAAGCATAAAGTGCTATTCACAAAAGCTTTGGGTCCAGACTCGTCAGCATGTCAAATGGGGGAAAAGTTGCTTGTATAAACATAGCTTTGTGTTAGACGTCTCCGAACCTTCCCGAGCATATAGAGCATACTTTAACGTATGTTTGTGCCATCAGTGCTATCCAATTCCTCTCACCATCATCCCGGACCATGTGACAAATTTTTGTCATATTTATTTATACAGGGTAAAATTATTTTACTAAATCTACCGGTGAATCTGAACTTTCCTAAAGAATTGTGAGTTAATAATTGCCAAAAAGAGACGCAAATACAAATGCAAATAAAAATAGTAAATTAAACAAAATAATTCTAATCAACTAACCAATGGCAAAATAATGTTTTAGTCCCATAATGTTAAATTGACAGCTGAAAGCATTAGTTCTCAGAGCAAAGAATATTTAGTTTAAAACGAAAATATCCTATCGTCGTGAAACGCTTAGCGACAGATCTTGTTTCATATAAAATAAACTAAAACAGCACATGTGAACTGCCATGGTTTAATTTTAACTTATTGCTGCTCAATGTGGTAAATACTTAGGCTAAAGAAGGAAAAAAACATTTTATTGTTCATCTATTTCAGTCAAAATAAGTTTTGATTGAACCTTTGATGTGTAATTATATTTTTTTTTTAGTTTTATGACGAAACACTTTTTAACGTTTGCTATTACATCGTATTACAATATTTTTCTTTTAATATTGGCAAAGGGCTAGTGTTGCCTGTTATGACACTAACAAACAAGAAACTAAATATATTAAAAATGAACGGTAAGGATTTTGGTATTACTGATAGTTATAATTTGATGTTAATGAAAAATAAAGGAAGTTAAGGAATTATACATCAAAAGGAATAGCTAACAGCATAAAATGGATATAAATGTCGACATAGTTGACAGCATAATTACATAAACAAAAAAAATAAGTGAAATTATTTATGGCATATTGAATTGTATTCTCAAATCAAAATAAAAAAAAAAAACAGTTCCTAAATTATCCACAGATAATAATAATCATGTTCCTTCTATAAATGTTTTAAACGCACGGTATACTTTCAATATATATTTTTTAATACCTAATACCTCCACAATATTATTATATTTACTAGCGATTTGAAAATCGTGATCTTTTTATCTCTTGACTATAGTGATTGGCAATAAATATAAAATTAGGCTATGAAATGTCTATTTATTGTGAATAAATTAAAATTACAAATTCAAATGTGATAGTATTAGATAGAATACGAATAAATTTTACTATGAGATGTGCTGTTGAATTTAAGTCTAACTTAATTGAATCTCAATGTACCCACGTACATATTGTTATTTTAATTACTTACTTTTTACTAACTTATGAGTGTTTAGCGACAGTAAAGAATATGTGGATACATACTTCTGCATGCAATTCATGCAGAGCGTCTATACCGAAACTGTTACCGAATAAAATATCACGAAGTATGTGATTACAGCAGCAAACAATGTAATGTACATGAATACTTTACTCATATTAGAAAAATATGTTATTTACTGATTGGAAAAACTTAAAAAGCCTATTAAATACCTACACTTCATAACTGTAAGAATAAACGGATCAACTTGCGTGTATTTTTATGAAGTATGCTCGATTAGTATCGATTCAAAACATTATTTAATATTGAAAAATGAATATTGTCTGTTTTCCATTACAAATAATGTGTAGTAAGCCAATAAAAATTGTTATTTACCAGTTTCACCTATATTGTACTAAGATTAAAATAAATAAAAAAAATAATAACAGTAATTATAACATTGTACATAGACACACAAAGTACGTAAAGTCATTCCTCATAAGACCTGCAAGTTTCAATACAGTTATATGGATTTATGTCACTACGGCGTTTCCATTTACGTAGCTACGCCTCTAGTGGATAGGTTTGTAAACTCAGACTTTCACCGGAGTTTATCGACAGTCTTAATAAAAAATCTTTTACTAAGTCATTATGGTCTAAAATTTTAATACAATATAACAACGGTCATGTTAATAATTAAAGCATCGCTTGCAGCGACGTTTAATTAAGATTCAATTTATAAATTTCACAAAATATTGTTATAAAAATTGAACTTTGTTTGGATCTATAATTATGGCATCGACTAAATTACACATTTTCTTCCGAGAACTTATCCAACTACCTAATTACAATCTGATCTGATCACCGTCGATATAAAAACTTTTATTTCTTGCTACCTAAAATTGTTTAAAAATTTGTAACTAGATCATGTTTAATATTAATAGATATGTAATTAGGCTTAGATGTATTAGGTAGTTACAACAAAATTTAATTGTTTAACAAATTTATAGACGACCAGAAGAATTCGTATGATTATTTAATTATGCAATAATTTCCAACTACTCGTATATACTATTTATTATTAACAGAATATATTTGAGCTGGGTGATGAAAGAGATATCTAGAAATGTGCGAAATATATCCAATGGCCAATAATTTATAGTTAGGATAGTAAAATAAAAATTACTAAATTTACTTTTTACTTTATTTATAAACATTACAAGAAGATTCTGTCACAAAAAAATATACATTTAATTTATTTCCTATTACTTAATGTTTGTATATGTACTATACATAAATGATTTAATGACAGCCTATGGTTGTTAAATTTGAAATTAATGAATAAATAAATAATTGAATTAAATAAATTTATATTTATTGTATTTGTTATTTGTAAGCTGGTTGTTTTCAGGTAAGTATAATGTTACCTTATCTAGAATTTACTAGAAAAAGAATAGTACTATTGTTGACGTGACATTTTTTGTAGTGGTCCGTATACTTTCTATGATTACGGCCAATATAATACTCCTAATAAACAATATATTTTATGTTTGCTGTTTTACATATCCAATAATAATAATAGCTCCTGGTCTTGGATACGTCACATGAATAAACGAATTAATAAAAATTCTTTATTGTTCCCTTCAAAGAATGATTTCAGTAATTGATACAGAATGATAAGGATTTACAATATTACAAACAAAGTGAATAATCTAATATATAAAATTCTCGTGTCACGGTGTTTGTTACCAAACTCCTCCGAAACGGCTTTACCGATTTTCATAAAATTTTGTGTGCATATTCGGTAGGTCTGAGAATCGGCCAACATCTATTTTTTATACCCATCACTGATAAGGATGACCCATGCCTAAATTTTATTTTTATTTTTTTGACAATTTTTTTTTATTTTTATTAAAATATGATTTAGCATTGAAAAATACATACAACTTTAAATTTTCATCGTTTTACGATCAACCCCTGTATTTTAATCGCGATTTATATATTTCGCAATAAGTGGTAAAACAACGTTTACGGGGTCAGCTAGTTAATTATATAAAAGTAGTGTTTTTTTAGTTGGAGTTGCATTTGTTCAGGCATCCCGTCCTCGATATTTGACACGGGTGGTGACATGCCTGTTATATTGGCCACATTGTAAATATTTAAGTATAGAATGCAAATTAGAGCAAACATATCTTATATATGTAAGTAGTGTCATGCAATCCCATTTCAAACTGAGTTTACACACAATATTTTTTTAAAAACTTACATATACAATATCAGCTCCCGTGGCTTCGCTCATGGTTATATTGTAATGTTAAATAGTCTAATGTTCCTTAAAAAAATTTACCATTAAATGCAAAAAGAATTTATCAAATTATTTCAAAACAATTAAATTTTACCAGAGGGAGACTTTGTAGAAAAGTTGATTGCAGAGGTACCCAACCTCTGTCCCATTCGTGTTTCAACCGTAAAGCAGTTGTGTTTGCATAGCTGTGTTTCGGTTTGAAGGGTGGGATATGGCGTGAATTTACTGGGTACGGAGGAATAACACCTGAGTCCTCGGGAAGGGCAACGCATGGGGGGTATCATGGGAGAAACAGTATACTCTGTTATGTCCATGGTACTGCTCATGTCTATAGGCGACGGTTACCACTTTCCATCAGGTGGGCCGTCAGCTCGTTTGCCATTCTAAGTTGTATAAAAAAATATTTTTAAAAAATTCTTATCAACAAATCTCAAATCAACAACTCTTCCGCTTTATTAATATTGAATATAGTTTTAAAACATCTTTTCTAATAAAAAGGTACCTCTATAATTAATATTTAAATTATATTTGAATTGTAAGGCCTATGTTCATTAGTGGACAGATAATAGCCGATATAATGACATAGTCGTGAATTTTACTAAGATTTCGTGAAGCAGTTTGAGTTTGTTACTGCTACCATAGACAACAAAACAGATGTCGTATATATATTTGTTACTTAACAAGGAAGTGACGCAAACTAAACAAAATCAATTTTAATCTTCATCTGCGAATATAGAACTTTAAATGGCCCTTACATATTTGTCAACAGGCAACTTTTAACGTTAAGCTTACCGCAAATTGTAGTAAAAGTACCCCTCCATCTACACTAAAATATGTACCAGACTGAGATATAGTAAAAATATTCTGCATGGGCACCTCTGTACCTTTTATGTTTCTACCGTGAAGAAGTTGTTTAAATGGCTGTTTTGGTTTGAAGAGTAGGATGTGGCAGAAAGGTACTGCGGAAGAATATCTTACTTCTTAGAAATGGCAACTTATAAAAGGTATTATGCGCGACACAGTATACTCAGTTATGTTCATGATACTGTTCATGTCTATAATTGACGATTACCACTTGCCATCAAGTGTGCTGTCAGCTTGTTTGCCATTCTAAGCTGCATAAAAACCTCAAGGTCTGTATATTGCCAATAATGTTCTAGTATTCTCATAGTAATAAATAAGGAAGTGAATTAAAACACTATTTTTTTAGCGTGAATTTTATTGCACGAATATACACATTCTCGTCGATATAATTATGACGTCTACTTAAATTCCATATACATTGGAAACTATGAAGGTCAATTCTGAGGCGTCACATCCCTAAACCTATCACTAAAATTAAATATTTAATTTTAAACCACAGCAATATCTTTATACCATATTATCTGTGCTTTATACTAAAGAACAATATGAACAAAATTTTTAATAAATTTAAGTAAAAATTATTATAAATTTAGTGCATGACGTTCCACAAAACAGTAATTTTGGGAAACTGTCAAATTAAAATATTGAGAGATAGGTTTGAGCATAGTTTCTCAACCGGGGGGTCGCGACCCTTAAGGAGTTCGCGTTTGTTATTAAAAAGGGATGCAGTCTATTGAAAAATAATAAGACCTCAAAAGATTCGTTTAACATAACGATGCACAACTTTACTAATTAGAATACTAATTCGACTGAGCAATTTATTCGGATTATTCGAATGATTTTCATACGACTACTAATTTTATTCACTGTAATGCTTACGCTAAAATCATTCAATAATAGTTGTACACGTACGAATTGGCACGAACATAGCCGAGTCGACCCGATTGCTGGATCATCCTTTTTTTTTAATAGTCTAAGAGTGTTGTCAATGTATTTTATAATATTTAGTAAAAATTAACAATTTTCAATATTTATAAGAAAATTACGTAGTAAAGTAAATTTTTAGTCATTAATTAATAGTATATATATTGAAAATGAATGTAGACTTTTTTTTTGGTAACTAGTTAGTAAACTCATTCTTAATCTAATAAATAAACTACTAGTTAAAATATTCTTATAATATTATAGTGACGAAGTCACAAGACTTTTTACTTTTAGTGTTTCGTGGGTCGCGACATAAAAATAGTTGAAAAACAATAATTTAGAGCAATGGCGCCTCAGAATCGACCACAATCTTATTATTATATTTAATGAATAAATAACATGAATTAAAAATACATATATACACAACACGTAACTTATCTGCATTGTAATTGCATTGCATACAGCTATAGCACTTTAAATCATTAAGCAGTTAAAAGCATCAGTATATCGTATCACAAATTCATTATACACTTAATAACTAATGATAATCACAGATTTATAAAATACCACACTATATTTTTATGGTAAAATTAATTCAAAATTGAAAAATATCTACATTAATTATAATTTATAATTAATGTAGATATATAATTATTTCAATAATTAAAAATCATGTAAATATATGTCAGAACAATTTTAATTGTATTTGATTGTTTTTTGTGCCTTGGGCTTCTACATAAAAATAAAAGTAAAAAAAAAATATTTAAACATTTCCATACTTTATCACAGTAGTATTATTAACAATACTAAACATGGTTAATGTGACAAGATACAAAAATGGTTAATTTCAAACAAAAAAGATCCTAATACAAGTGTTTACAATACTAATAGTTGTTATATAGAAATATGATTATACCAATAAAGGTAATGGTAACATTTATTGTATCGAATATAACTTTCATTAAAATCAATTTAAAGAAATACAATTTTATATCCTACACGCTATGCGAAAGTTATATTGCTATTTCGACAATTATCTAATAATTGGAATGCTCAGCGATTTACTCTACATAATAATATATTTATTTATTTATTTAAAAACTAATAACTACTTATTGATATAGTGCAAAACATGAAATATAAGTAGAGAGAGATGCCGTAGGTATCTTGCTTATGTTACAAAAGTACTTATTAACGTTATCAACAAATAAACCTACTCTCGCATATAAGCCTCGCAAAAATACCATCAAAATCCTCTTTTCATCAACTCTCGAAACTTTTTCCATCAAGCCTAAATAGTTCATTACAATAGGCACGTAGGTTTTAATTTGTATAAATAAGGGATTCATCTACAGCAGTGTTGCCAGATTGGGTATTTTTACCCCGATTTTAGGCGAAGGCATAAAATATATCAAAATGTGACGCTACGCTGAAGCGTATATTTTTCGTCATTTGCGTAGTGGTTAAATGGTAAAAAAATAGTGATAACCAACATAAGTTTGTGATTGAGTAAAAGTGAAGTAAATCGTATCAATTTGGAGAAAAAAAAATCCATTTGGGTATTTTTGAAACCGTATCTGGCAACGCTGTTAGGCACATACGTCATAGCCAAACGGTAAGTAGATTCAATTATGTTGATTGAAGTAGATTTAACGAACCCGACACCGCTATAACTGCAGCACATCCCTCATGGCTTCAACGGGTGTGACCAGCTTGGTGGAGCCGATAAGCACCGTGTTGTCGACCCCGCTAGTGATGATGCTACGGTGCAGCCGCTTGCACTCCTCTGCGGTGATGCCGCCAATCACGAACAAGATCACCGTCTGATTATCCAATGGATGTTTGGCGCTGCGAGCTTTCTTACTTGTTAAAATGCTGGAAATCGTAGAGATTTTGTTATGATACTAGCTTTTGTTTACATGTAAACTAGTTGATGCAACAAATGTTGCTTTTCCCTTCTACTACTACTTGCTGACTAGATTTTCCTTATCGGGATAAAATCTATTTCGTTTCTATCGAGCAAACAATAAGACATTTAGGAAATCGGATGAGCGGTTTTCATGAACAGCTTGAACGAAGATCGTAGCAGGTAATTTTTATATATTAATATTTATAAAATCCAACAAACGTTAATGTATCCTATTGTTAATGATGTACGTTTGCGTTTTGATGATGAACGGATGATATGATGATGATGATGATGAATAAATACACCTAGTATTTGAAGCGGTTTAACTAGGGTAAATAAAAGAATTTTGAAGCGTTGATGTAATATAAATTTGATGTAATGCGTTGAAGTTTTATTTTGCAAGTAAGTTACAATTTGAAACCTGAAAGGTCATGTAAATTTCTCCTGCATTATGATTGGCGTTCTCGCGATGTCGTGATGAGCGACTCTTGTGACTGGTTGATGTTGTATGTGATTGTCTATTAATAACTTAGCATTGGCTTTACCACTGAAAACGCTTCATTATACGCAGGAGTGATGAATATTTGTGCCATATTATTAATGCTTTAACACCTATTTATAAATCAAGTACAAGATTTGTGTATCAAATTTTTCTTATTAATTATGATAAATTTCACATTTCTTTGGCGTGCGCTTGAATATTTGTTACTCAAGTTTAAACAGCAGAATAAATTTTATTGATATCTATTACAGAGCAGAACTTGAACCTAATTTTAACCCTAACTCACACAACTAATAAGTGTAACTGCAGTATATAACTTTTATTTATTTATTTATTAGCATTTATTCAGATTATTACAATAAAATTTTAGCATTATATTATATTCTTGCTCATTATCTTATTTATCTAAAAAAATATAATCTATTACACTTATTAGTAAACTTACTTGAGTCCGCTCCGAAGTAAGTCTTTGATCCCTTCATTCCTATGCCTCAAGTCTGTCAGTTCTGGACGCTCAGTATCCACCAAGTCATCCACCAACTGTTGCAGAACCCCACGGTACTCGTGTCCAACGCCAGTTTCACACGGCTTCAGTACAGAGTTGTACCTATCACAAAATTATTTGTGAATACACACTAGCTGATTTTATATAATTACAAATTTTATGATAAATCTAGCATATCAGTCATCTACTGTTATGCTTTATTTTAAACTTTCACATTGTTTACACATATTTTAAATACACAATCGTGACTTAAAGCGATGAAAAACACTTTGCAGATAAATAGTAAATACATACCTGCTTCTTTATTACCTACGTTTCGACGTGGATTGCACCATTCGAATTATTTCCACCATTGATTTCCTGTCGTGACCACGACATGGTGCAATCAATATCAAAACGTCGGCAATAAAGTAGCAAGTATGTAGGTACTATTTACTTGCAAAAGTTTATTGCGTTAAATCCAGATTGTGTATTTAAAATATACTTTATTTTGTAATAAAAATTTTGCATATCAATATTATAGTTATTTGTACTTACTTTTGGAGTATTTTTCTCATTTGCGCAATATCTTTCAATCGTCCCATGATTTTCTTTGATATATCATCGCACTCTTCTGGCGTTACCATACGCCCACCCTCTTCACTAGTGAATAAATGTTTGTGATCTTCGAATATGGCAACACTGAGAGTCTCAGTCAAGCTATCCTCATGCTGTTTTGAAAACGACACCTCTGTCCCCGTAAGGGAATAGATATAAACAATCAGTGCGAGTAAGCTATCTAGTGAAAGATTTCGTTCTTTCCGATTTTTTATGAGATGGCTCATCTGTAACGTATTAAAATTTACTTTTAAAAATAAGGTTAATTGTTTATGGTGAAAGAATGTCCAATATCTTTGTGTCTTGGTAGTATATATATTTACGAGAGATACAAATTTAATATTCTGAAAATTGACTGTAGGAAATACTGTAAGGCTATTTTTTTAAATTAAAATAGTATTATTGTATTAATTATCTTAGTAATGATACTGGTATGAAGATTCTGTTTTTTTTTTCCACTTTACATGTAACTCTTTAAAACTCATAGCAGTTATGTAACAATAAAATTTGATAACCGCTTTATTACCTGATGCAAAACACTTGTGGAGTCTCGGCTGGCAGCAAGGTTCTGCAGCACCTGCCTTTCGAGACCCATCAGTAGCTCAATCTGTACGCGCTTTGGTGACTTCAAAGTTTGCACCACGGCAACTGCTTGTTGGAGTACGCCCAGATTGTTTTCAATTATGTCATAGTTACCTTTGAAATTGATTACACAAAATTTAATATTTTTCCGAATTAATCACATATTTTGTTTATTTGTTTCTAATTGTTATTATTACTGTATGTTTTAGTGCAATACTTTATACTATATACATAAAGGGACACATAAGTTTTCTGCTTGAGTAACTCTACCCCGCCTGTGTTTCTGCCATGAAGCAACTCTGTTTACATGGCTGTATTTTAGTATGAAGGAATATTATAGAACACAATTCAATAATTTTTACGACAGAGAGCAAATGTACTCCACATTTTCCACAATGGGCATCACAGTATATTCAGTGATGTTCAAGGTACTGTTTATGCCTTTAGGGGATGGTTTCCACTTTTCATGAAATCAGTTGTCAGCTTGTTTGCTATTTTAAATTGTACAAAAAATTTAATATACTGATTATCTTACCTTCTCATATCTACAATTGTGTATTTCAAGCTAGCTGTTATTATAATATTGTCATTTATGCTATAAAAAAATCTCTAAAACACATTTACCTTTAGTAGCAGCTACAATCTTCTCCACACTTTGAGGTGTTACTTTTAGTAATGTTTTAGGGCTCGGTGACTTTTGAACGTCGATCTTAGACAATTTGTTGTATAAATCAAACATTATTTCTTTCTGGGTTTTATTAATCATGTGATCAAATGTTTGTATGCACGCCTCATCGTTTGCATGGTATAGACAGCCTGGACTGATTTGCAAATCTTCAGGGTGATTGATACTATAACAAGATTATCTTTAGAGCTTCATTGGAGCATAATAGGAACATTAAAGAATGACTTATATAATTAGAAAGGAATCATACACAAATTACATTTTTTGAAGAGAAGTTTTGACCTGCCGATCATGTTATAACATGTGAGGGTGAGTTAAATAAAAAATGGCATCATCTTCATATGGCTGCTAAATATTATATATAAACATCCTCATCAGTTCATATCAAGATTTCTTGGTCCATAAAAAATTGCAGCTTCTTAATCACAAGTCCAAAATCATAAGAACTCATATTTTAAAATTATTCAATATTCAATTATTCAAATTAGATTATAAGGGATATGAGTAATTTAATTATTAATTTTAAAACTTATTCATTATCTAATAATGATAAAATCCTCACCTATTAGCCTCACAAAGTGATGACATATCTACAGCTACCTCATTAGAGTGGCCAGGGAATCTTGGCAACACAGCCATCACAGTATCGAGGACAGACTCCATGGAGTGGCTAGTTACACCACATAGGTCTAATGTGCGGTCTACTATTATAAGGGAAGCAGGATTAGAGCAGTTCTGCAAAAATAAGAAGAATGTAATATTAATTTTTCTCATCACAAAATGACCTTTAGCAATTCTCATGCATAAATATTCCTAAAAACTAAGATATTATGATTGTGTACTTTTTTACTATATATATATATATATATATATATATATATATATATATATATATATATATATATATATATATATATATATAATAATTAATATATATATTTAAATTAATTACTATATTAAAAGATGTATAATTAATTAAATTATATTATTGTTAATTAATAATAATATGAATTTATATTTTTATAATGAAATCCAAAAAATAATGTTGTAATAATTATAATTGTAAATATTATTAAAATTTGACATTAACCTTCCTCCTTGCCAAGCACACTGGTGAATTTTCCAGCACTCCAGCTACTAAGGAGCTGTATGTTCCCATATAGAAGATATCTTCTTTCAGATTCATTGAGTCAAGCATAGCATTAAGTCCACTCGCCAATCTCCTCACTTGAGACCTTTGATCACTGGTCAATGTGTATAGATCTAGGGAAGTAGTGTCAGGTATCAACTTGTCATCATACATTGGGAATACTTTCTGATAAGGTGGTGTTAAAAACACAACATTTGTTAATGATATGGTGAAAATGGGTATATGAACTACCTCCACAATACATTGCTGAAAAAATACAAATAGAAATAAATTTTATATCTACTAATACACTATAGACATCATATTCACTAAATTGAAAGAATAAACTAGGTGTGTGAATTACAGTATATTTTTACATGTGTCAAATAGCCTAACCAGTACCTACTTCCATTTGTTAACTAAAAGTATAATCCATCAGTATACCCGATATACATATTAGATATATCTATATCAACATTCATATTTATAATATTAAATAAATATTTTATTAATAAAAATTTCTTACCGATTTCCCAATGGCATCAAGTAATAATGCTTCCAAAAGTTTAGTGGCCTCTGCAGGGCCCTTTCCTGCAGCTATAACATCTCCTAAATCTTTCCCTTCGTTTAACTCCAAATAAACTGTGTCCAGACTAACACAGGATATCAGAATGCAGTGTGTAAACTCACTGTTATGGATAATTTCAGATATTGTCCGTAGTTGTGTTGCTGTTGTTTGAGTGATGAAAACAGCTTTCTTATGTTCTTTATTTGAAAACTGTAATGTTTTGAGCATGTTTACATATTTAATAAGTTTATAAAAATAAATAACTATGAAAAGTTAATTTATGATAAACTATTGCATTAAAATGGAATAATACTAAAAAAACGAACGACTACATAGAGATTTGTAATAGCCAAGTAAACATTTAAATATTGTTACCTCAAATGGCGACAAACTTTTAATGGTAATTGCTCCTCCCGTAAGAAGATTAAATAACCCACCATCCCAGTGTAAACACTCTGCACTAGCGTCATCAAGGTAGACAGCAGCACCAATAATACGATTGTAAACTTCTGACCACCAGGCCCTGCTGAATTCTTTTACAGAAGTTAACATATTTTTTGTGCTTTACAATATTTTTCACAATGACCCTGAATTTAAGTTAATAGATGGTATTTTCGGAATGGGTGATAAATTTTTTTCACATTGCTGTTAATACATAGGTTATTAAATTAATTATATTATTTTAAAAATTTTTGAATATATTCATGCAATGACAGATTGAAACATTTGACAGCAAGAAACAGTGTGGCCAGATTCAATCTAATTATTGTTGGTTAATAAACAATCGTTTGGTTACTTATTATTCAATAATTAAACCCTACTAATAATTATTGTATATATTATGTCAATGTGTTTCTATTTCAGGTTTTATTTTTGAAAAGTGCTCTATTAATAAGCGGAGGTTTTGCTTTCCTTTTTAGTTTCATTTACAATTTGCTTACTTGGTACTGTACCATCACCGTAACTTTGACGGACACTTTTTCATACACAGAAATGGTTCTCCTGTTCATTGACGTCTACACTCTATAATTAAATAGGTAGTTTTTGTTTTGTTACTTTAGCAATACTGATCTGGCTATTCGGTCGCCAACATAGATTAAGGATAGTAGATAATTCTCTTTCTACGACTGTCAACTTTGCTATTTAAGGGAAGATCTAGTCCATTGCTGTTATTCCGTCATAAGCGACAGAATATAAGCATTTCTATTTAATCCCGATTGTAGACCTAATGCCATTTATTAAAATAAACGATAAACAATTTATTTAATAAAGATTGCTTTTGAATACTTAACATTTGTAAAAAAAGCATGGCATAGATGTCTAAAATCTCATTTTATTTAACAGCCCAAAAATATGAGAGCTTAAACCTCATTTTTAGTGGTTGTTGTTTGGACTAGGATCTTAGTTAGGAACATTATATGTCAGTCTGCTATTGTTGTACAAAATAAAATCACATTACTACATTAACTTTTAATTTATTTTATTACTTATCACAATATAATTTGTAGTCTAGAGGCGCGCGCCTGCACATACACTAACAAAAGCATAGACAAATTACAATAATTAGTGATGTTGTCCATTAATGTTCATAACCGCTGGGAAGGGCATTGACATGGGGGTTGTGGAAGAAAGTTTTCTGACCTTCACCCCAAGGAAAACGCTGAAATAAAAAAGATGTATGCAATAGAATATTGAATTGTACAGAATTGATGATTATTTGTTAGTAGCTGAAAGTTAAATTTTATGGAGATTTTGCATTTATATGAAAATATAAAGTATTTTTATGAAGTCCTACTAAAAATTCTGATAAACCCTAAGTGAATATAATATATGATGACTTTCGTGGGTAATAGCAAATAAAGTCAATATTTGGTGATTAAATCTCTACACAATATAATTACTACAACTAAGTCTTTTTTGTGTGTAATATAACATGAATATTGTTCAGAATCAGCTACTGAAGCAATACAATGTCATAGTTTTTTTAAATATAAAAATACAATATTTTATAAACTATAAGAAAATAAGCCTTATTATAATGTTATGTTACTTTAAATTCATATATTTTACAGCTCATATCAGAGATATACTTTTGAAAATTGCAATAATTTTTAAATGTAAAAATAATTTTTCCTAATTGCATTTGTATAATAAGAATAAAATTATTATTCTGAATGGACTGTAACTGTACAAGAAAAGATCCTATTACACATTATAGGTATTTAACAAAATATTTTAGTATACCTAAGTCTTTTTAATCATCATCATATCAGCTATTAACTGTTAACTGCTAAAAATAGGTAGTGGGGATGGCAAAACTAGGCCGATCACAGTTAGGCTTTGGGTGATGTTTAAAGAGGGAATTTGTTGCCTATCCCTTGATCATAAAATATTTTTCTAATAGTACTATGTAATAATGTTCAAATTTATTGACTTAAATGAATTCATTCTAAAGTCTCCATTTGCAATAATCACCTTAGTACGAACACGCAAGTGTTCATAGGCAACAAATGGTGGTGGCTCATGATGCTCCTCCTGATGTGCCAGGTATGCATTCAGCATACCAAGACCCACTGCGGGGAATGCTACGAAGAAAGACAGCCGCTTCCACAGTTGCCATCCGCCTGTAATAGATCATTAAAAAATGTATTTCATACAAATTATATGCTACAGTAATAACCAATATTTCTGTTTCTCCCTAAGGATGTCTAGTAGAGAATGTTAATTAGCATTTTAATATATATGAATAATAAAGATGTTATATAAAAAAATAATATCAAAATAGGTAAATGTTTAATTCAGATGATTTTTACTTAATTATACTCTGAATGGATTTGAATGAGATTTGGTTAACTATGATATATATATTTAACTCACATAACTCAATATTAAGACAGGACATTTTATAATAAATAACGTGGATAAAGACACGGCCTACAGTTACTCTATCACTGCATTTTGGTTTGGTATATCTATAATTACTAACCTTGTATATTTTTATAATATTTTTATTAGAAATCAAATATTATTATTTAAGATGGTGGTGATAAGATCCGTGGATGAGGTTATACGATTACATAATTTTAATGGGTTCGTACCTCCATGTCCACCAGCTGTAGCTGCATGGGAAGAACGAGCATTATTCCTGAGGTAGGAGATGGCAGCCCGCTGCAGGATGGAGGTCATTTTTAAATGTTCTTAATTCGAATATTTAGCGAGAAAACTATAGTACTCAATAAAATCAGCTCTAGAATGGACTTGACACTCGATCATCAATAATTTTTTTTTTTTTTAGTACGTTTGTTCCGTTTGGAACAGGCTAAGGTCGGAGACCATGCTGCCTAGTCTTCAAAAAGATAATTTGTCTGGAATTCGATCATCAATAAAATTAACTGTCAACGTCAAAATATTGTGACACTGAATGACAACTAAAACTAACTTTAAAAAACTGTGCACTTACCACAGATTATAGCTATGTCACAGACAATGACTGTGTGTTATATGTCTGTGGCTATACCTTTCGTGCATAGATGAACCTTAAACAAAACCTTTTTGATTAAATTTATAGCTTAATTTTAGTTACTATTTTTTAAATCGAAACAAAACGCTTTGTTTCCAGTGTTGTATGTAATTAGAATAAAAATCCCATTTAGGTCGATTCATTTATATTTGGACAATTTTTATCTGATATATTCAAATTCAAATCATGTTTATTTGAATAGACTTGTTTACAAGCACTTTTAAATCGTAATTTTTTTTTAATCTATTGCAGGGTTCGGAAAGTTGTTATCTGTTGAGAAGAGCCCGCAAAAAAACTCAACAGTTACTCTTTTAAATCTCTGTTAACATTATGTATAATTATTCAAATGTACTATGTGTAAAATTACATAGTCATTAAAAAGCCCGTGCATGATCAACTAACACCATGCACCCTTGTCATTTAAGTAATTGTTTAGAGTGTAATGGCTTTGTTCAATAAGTGATTTTTAATAACAGTTTTAAATTTATTAAAAGGTAGATCCAAAATATCAAGTTATCTCATTATAACATTTAATGCCCGTTCCTATAAAAGGCCTATTGACTTTTTCTAAACGATCATATAAATACGTACGTACATATGTTAATTAAAATGGCAAATATTTTTAATGATTTAAAACGAAAACATATTTTGTCTATACTGAGACCCAAAGACCTATCTAATTATTTTTCTATATTTATAATTCTAATTATTAATCTAGAAAAAAAGGCGGGAAACTCGAATAAGAACAAGCGGGTTTTTTAAATTTTTTTTATTAATTTATTAAAACTATCTCTATCAATTCTTATTATTGAATAAAATATTATATTTTCACTAAATTCAGCGACAGTAATATAATTAGCATTCATGGGGAAGCGCAGTTGTAGAAAAAGGAAAAAAAAAGATGACGATTCAGGTGATGTAGACCATGAACCTTGTAATGACAAGGATATATATTCGGAAGATACTTCTACTGACTCAGAATCTGAAATTGATAAGGCCGATAAGTATAAACCTTACTACGTCACAGATTATATTAGAAGATATCCCGAGGAATCCCCTGGGACAGAATTTGTTGTCTTTGTAGAATCCTCAGATAGTCAGAAAACCATTGGATCCAGAGACTTGCTCTCACTCTCCTCCTGTTTAAAACGTTTTAATAAAGGGGTAACTTATCTTAGATCTATAAATAAATTCAAAATCGGAGTATACTTTCAAAAGCCAGACTTAGCCAATGCTTTTTTAAATAATAAAACTTTTTTAAATGACTACCATTTTAAGGCCAGTATTCCTGCTTCTTCAACAGAAGTTACAGGCGTTATTAGAAATGTACCTACAAATATATCTAATAAAAAAATATATACTATGATATCGAGTTCTAAGAAAATTATTGCTATTAAAAGAATTTTAAGAAAAAATACCTTGACTCATGGATATGTGTTACAGCCAACTCTAACCGTGACAATTACTTTTGCTGCATCTGTATTACCTGAATATCTGGATATTGGAGGTTGGCGCCACAATGTCACTCCATATATACCACCAGTTAAACAATGCTACCGGTGCTTGAGGTATGGACATTTAGCTAAATTCTGTAAGAATTCTGAGCGTTGCAGCATCTGCAAAGGTGAGCATAATTATAAAACTTGTACAACTGGAATGGAAAACGCTATTTGTGTACACTGCAATGGAAATCACACAAGTGTATCACCGCAATGCCCTGTTAAACAAAAGAAAATTGCTGAAAATAGATCTAAATTCAGACCTGCTTCTTTTGGAGATATACTTAGCACTGAAATATTTCCTAAACTGGGTAACAAACCTAAAAAAAATGTAGACCTAATTTCAATTCTAAATTCTGATAACAAGAGTTTATCACTTTTAATAGAAAGCATAATCAAACTTATTTCACTACATAACACAAAGAACACATCTATTAACACTAAAAGTGTTTTGAATGTGTTATATGATACTTTTGGTAATACACCTATTTCACAAAATTCAATCGAGACCAATTAACTATCATACAGTGGAACGCTCAGAGCCTACTGAGCAATCGACTTATTTTTACACAATTTTTAAATGAACATCATATTCACATTGCTCTCATCTCAGAAACTTGGCTAAAACCACATTACAAATTAAAAATTAAAGATTATTGTATAGAACGAAATGATTGTGGTAATAACCACAATGGAGTAGCGATTATTATACATAATAGTATTAGATATAAAAAACTTCACTCTTTTTTCGACAATTCTTTGCAAACTATAGCTATTAGTATTGAAGTTAATAATTCTTGGTATTCAGTTGCCAGTATTTACTGTCCTACCAATAGTACACCTAGTTTTACTAAAGCCAAATTTAAGTTCTTTTTGGAGTCTCTTCCTAAACCCACTATCATATCTGGAGATTTAAATGCACATCATACTATGTGGGGTTGTACCTCCACTAATACAAGAGGTAAAGACATTCTTGATTGTTTAGATGAATGTAATTTGGTACTATTAAATGATAAGCAAGTTACTACTGTTGGCTCTCATATTTGGAGACCCAATGGCCTTGATTTAACTATGGTATCCCCATCCATATCATTAAAATGCGAGTGGTCGGTTCATGATGATCCGTTAGGAAGTTATCACCTGCCGACTTTTACTAAAATAAACACAAAGAACTCTTCATCAACTCCGTCAGGTGAACAACATGCTCCTATAGATGAAGTTAATAAACTTTTGTTAAATCGTATAAACCTACGTCTCGTTAATTGGGATCTTTATTCTGAAACTGTTAATCAATTACTTTTGGATTTCGAGTATGATGTCAATGAACCCTTAAACAATTACAATAGGTTCGGTAAAATTATTTTGACAGCTGTGGAACGTTCCGTTCCACGTAGGAACTTATCAAATAGCGGTGCAAATACTTCAAAGAGGCACAAACATATTGCAGTACCTTGGTGGAATAACAGGTGTGCGACAGCTGTCAATGATAGTAAAGCGGCTTACCTTAGGTTTAAACAAAATCCAACTCTCGATAATTACATAAATTTTAAAAGAGTTCAAGCTGTTAAAAAGTTAGTAATTAAGCAAGTAAGACAACAGGGGTGGCAGGAATTTTGTTCCAAATTTAATAGATTAACACCAATTTCCACTGTTTGGCAAAATATGAGAAAACTAAATTCAAAACATCGTCAAAATCATTTTAAAGATATATCATGGGTCAATGATTTTTTACGCAAATATACTCCTGATTTTGTACACTCACCTTTTGATGACAAACAGTTTAATTCTGTTAATTCATGCCCAAAATTTCTCACTGACCCATTCTCAATTGATGAAATATCCAGTGCAGTAAAATCTAGAAAAGATACAGCTAGTGGCCTTGATCGCTTAACATACAATATGTTTCGATTGCTGAATAAAATAAACCTTACTAAACTCTTACAAATTTTTAACGATTTATGGAAGGACTGTATTATCCCACCAGAATGGAAAATGGATTGTTTGATTCCAGTAATTAAACCCGGTAAAGATCCTACAAATTTCGACTCCTATAGACCTATAACATTGACGTCCTGTGCAGGCAAATTATTCGAACAATTAATTAAACAGCGTTTAGAGTTCTTTATTGAAAGTAATAGTATATTACCATCGAATCAATTTGGTTTTCGCCGTGGATATTCAGCGCGCGAAAGTTTAGCGAACTTCTATGTCGACCTTAGTACTGCTTTGAATAACGATGAATATGTTCTATCTGTTTTTTTAGATGTCGTAGGAGCTTTTAACAATGTAAATTTAACAGTTCTATCTTCGATTTTATCCTCATTTCTTCCAATGAAACTTATCGAATGGATTTATAATTTTCTTAGTAATAGAGAAGTGTATGTTAAAGTAAATAGTAAATTAATAGGACCTAGGTTAAGCTCTAAAGGAGTATGTCAAGGTGGTATTCTAAGCCCGCTACTATATATTTTATATATCTATAAACTTAATTCAATTTTAGGAAACAGTGTGAACAACTTGCAATTTGCCGATGATTTATTAATTTATATAAAAGGAAAGAATATTATTGATATGCAATTAGTGTTAAATGAGTCATTAAAAAGACTTGAGAAATATTTTTCTCTTCTTTCCCTCGATATTAGTTTAACCAAAAGTAAAGTAGTTGTTTTTCATCAAGTTCATAAATATGTTCCATTAATGAATATTATATATAATAATCAAACTCTTCCAACAGACTGTAGCGTTAAATTTCTGGGGTAATTTTTCATCAAAATTTAAAATGGGATCTATACGTTGATTGCTTAGTAGATCGTGCTTTAAGAGCCACTAATATAATAAGATCTGTAATTGGTCGTAACTGGGGAGCTGATCCTAAAATTATCCTTTTACTTTACAAATCTCTTGTTAGAAGTAATTTTGATTACGCTTTCTTTTGTTATGCCTCAGAACATAAATTAGTAGAAAAACTCGAAAAAATTCAAAATATGAATTTAAGACTTATTTTAGGTGCTATGTATACTTCTCCAATTATCTCAATGCAAGTAGAATGTAATTTGCCTCCTATTCTTCTTCGTTTCGAATACCTAAAACTCAAATTTCTCTTCAAAGTTTTTTCAGTTTCCAATAACCCACTCATACTCAAATTATTAAATTGCCCCATTTCTATGTTTTTGAATAAAACTATTGTCAATGATTTGAATTTACGAGATGAATATAACATCTATAGTAGTAAGATACTTCCTTGTTATAATGGCCTTTATGAGAGTAAGTTCTGTAAGATCAAAATTGTTATACGTAAAGACATAAAAGAAAAGCACGATATGTATGAGACTTTATCAGAATTTATTGACTACAGGCAGATATATACAGATGGTTCCAAAAATGCACTTAGCACTTCAGTGGCTTTTTACGATTTGTCAAATAGATTTGGTCACGGTTATAAAATTTCAACTTTGGCTAGTATTTACACAGCAGAAGCAAAAGCTATATTTTTAGCATTAGAATACATAGAAAAACAGGTACTATATTCGAAATGGATTATAATTACAGATAGTATGAGTGTTCTTATGGCATTAAAAAATAACACATTCATTTCATCATCAAACTACTTAATTCAAGAAATTCGTAATAAATATTATCATCTCTGTACTATATATGGAAAAGATATTATCTTCATCTGGACCCCTTCACATATTGGAGTGTTTGGGAATGAACAAGTAGACACTTTGGCTAAAATTATTAATTCAAGTGCTGCTCGTGTTCAAGATTTACCCCTTTGTTACTCAGATTGTAGTATTGGAATACATAAAATCGTTACAACTAAATGGGAGGAGCATTGGACTCAAATATTACAGACTAAAGGCAAATGGTACCGCAAAATTAATTGGCGTATTGGAAAACCGTGGTTCTGCAAAGGAAAGGACACAAACAGAAAATTTTACACCAATATTTGTAGATTACGAATCGGCCACGGACATTTCAACGAACACCTGCACCGAATGGGCATGATCGCTTCCCCATCATGCACATGGTGTAACTCAAATACAGCCCAATCTCTACATCACCTTTTTTTTGATTGCTCTGAATTTGTCATTCAAAGACACATTATGTTTGACGAACTTAGGATTATCTTCAAAAAACCCGAAAATATCCCGCACTCAATCCCGCTTCTCTTAAGATTTCCTTCTTGTTTCAAAGCTATTTTCACTTATATTACTACAACATTCAAGGAGCTATAAGAATACTTTTATTGAATTGCAAGACAATGATTTTTTATAATTATTTATTTTTAATTTGATAAATCCACTGGTTTAAGAAAACTCAAGAAAAGATATTTATGAAAATGTACTTACCGGATTTGACAAATGAAATATTGAAGATTATGACAATAATTGAAGCGACATTAGAAAAATAAAATTCCAGACAAATTATCTTTTTGAAGACTAGGCAGCATGGTCTCCGACCTTAGCCTGTTCCAAACGGAACAAACGTACTAAAAAAAAAAAAAATTATTAATCTATTAATGATGTTTACATTCATACAAATCATTATGTACTGTTTACCTTATTTTTTCAAATATATTCGTAATATTTTTTATATTATTTTCTATTTAACCTTACAATATAATTTCTCCCAATACTGATATAGTAAATGTACATTATGTTAATTATAGGTTTACATAATGTACATTGTCTAAAGTTAACCCTATTTACGTAGAATAGATAAAAAAGTTTACCTGTTTTTGGCGAAAGAATTATAAGGTAATTTAATAAGTAGGTAGATATATCAATTTAATTAAAATAAAACAAATAGTTTTAAAGAATTTTTAATTATTATTGTTAAAATTCCTGCCGTAAACAAAAATTGATTTGAGATTCAATTAATTACAAGTATGTACGAGTATTCTTTATACTGCCTTTACCTATTTTACCTATTTTTAATTTACATAGTTTGTGCTTTTAGCTTTAGTGAAATTCATTTTAATACCGTTTTCTATGCAAGATGCATTTAATGCAGTGCGTGCGTCCATTGCATGCCGCCTAATTTGGTAACTGTAGACTCTTTATTTATGTAACAAATTACTTTTAAAAATAATTTCAATATTTGGAATGTCTCAAAATAAATCACATGTTGCTTTTTTGTTTTATTAGATTTACATACCTACTTGTCTACATGACTTTAATAGTTAGAATATAACTTTAACTTACTTTGATACTAAATATTCGTTAAGTAGATAAAATGGCACCTATATCATATTTACTATACATATTATACTACATGATTTTTATTTTTAAGAGTGTAGTTATACCATAGTATAAGAAACAACTTCTACGACTTTTGACGACGACGAATCGATCGATCGACGTCTTTGGCGTGACCCTTTGGTTTCGGAACGCATTGCTCTATATAGACATTTTTGTTTGACAAATGGTATTACAAAAAACTCTGTCATTATGTCATAAATGGAATAGTTACACATAATATTATGTCTAAGCTATAGTTTGTACATACTATACAATTTTCACTTGATCAAATGATGCAAACATTTCTTTAACATTCTCTCCTGATGTTTCAGGAAGTTCGTCGAGTAAATGACGCTTGAAAATACTTTTAGGTGGCACCTGAAAATACAATAGCACATTAACAATTTTTTTTTTGTATAGGTATACTTTGTTCAGTATTAAATGTTATAATCTTATGTTATAATCAAATAATTAACTTCGCAAACTTTGTTGAAAGCAGAAAACTGAACAACGTTTAATGTATTAAATTAATTATAAGCGATTTCTTTCATTCAATTACACTCAAAATTATACAGTTGTGTGATTCTACTTGTTTAAATTTTCCCGCCAATAATTTGTATGGTTGCATAGAAATAAACACAAAATTAAAATTGTTTGCAGGAAAATCAAATGAGTAGGTTAGATCCCTTAGGTTCAGAGTTCGTTTGGCACCTATCTATTTAAGCCACTTATGGATTAAAGACTTAGATACCTACTTAGATTACTTTTAATAGGCAAATACAAACCTTTCTAGCTTTTACATGTTCAAAATTGAATCCCATGTAAAACGCGCTTTGTTGTAGTTGTCGTAGATTTCTCATACGGACCCGAGGATCGGTTTCTAATAAACGTAGAAGTAATCCGCGAGATGCATTCGTCAAAATCGCTGCACTCTCTGGGAGCGTACCTGGAGGTCGACATTGTGGAGACTGTTTCTCCAAATTATTTCTGAAAAATTAAATAAAGATGTTGATCAATAAAAAATTTGTTTGCTATTGTAGAAAAAAAAAAATATTACAGGCGCAATCTTTACAAGATCAGTTGTACCGCTTTTTATCTATAATATCTATTTTACTTCATGTAAATTGGTAACTGAGGTAAGTATATGTTATTGGCACAGTGTAACTTTGTTCCTTACAGTGTGTTTGAAACTGTAGTCTAACTACTAAATAAACAAACATCTCACTTTGTAATTATTAAGGATTCTTCAGGATTGTTCTCCTTCGGTTCATTTTCTGCATCAAATTCCGTTGCTCTTCGCACTACTGCAGGCGTTGGGTACTGCAATGAAACATATTAACTAATTAAGTCTAAAAACTAAACACCTAAACTACTTACTATATTCTTTAATATGGTGATGTCATGATACACGACTATTACCACTCTCTATCACATGGAGACGATCAGCAGCTTTATTGTCGTTATCAGTAGTAAATATTCAAAGTTTCAAGTTATATTAATGTTCATCATGGAAAATAATAACGTCTGGTATTTACAGAACAACAATTCAACTAGGTCTCAAAGGTACCTGCATTGGTCTAGAATGGTTGGAGATTTTATGGAACAAGTTCTGAGAAATCTAATAACAATATGACCTCCATTTTATAAGATAATAGCTTTTGTTCGCGAATTCGTATGCCTGTATTTTGGTAGCTTTGCTCCCTTAGGGGTTATTTAAAATTCCTTTCTTCACCTGTGCTATATAAAAAACCTGTCTGCAAAATTTCAAAATTCTTGATTTAGCGGTTTCGGCTGTGCGTTGATATATGGATATATATATATATATATGAATATTATTATTGTACATTTTTGTTTCTGTTGCAATAAAAAAGTCAAATAATAACTTATTACAACGATAAACATTCATTAAAATTTGGCAATTATTAAAAAATACCACTACAATAAATCAAATACTGTAGTATAATTTATGTGTAGTGCACAGAACCCATAATAGAATCATCATCATTTCAGCTATTATCCGTCTACTGTAATATAATATAAATGAATGATGAAATGAGATGATATAATATTAGGTAAAAATTATCAACTAGTAGTAAGTATCTAATACAGGATGTTATCTACGCAGACATTCGAATCTGCATGTAGATGAACAAACAAAGGAAAATTATGAAGAGATGGGTGAATTCACATTTATATACTTAAGTACAAAAATGTCTTGGCTCACAGTATAGGATAAAAGTTATGTAGATTTAAAAAAAAATAGGCACCGTAATACGGTGTATTATGCATAACAAAGTGTGAATTCAAGTGTCAAAATGTATTAAAAAAAAAAACTGAGTTCATAAACAATAAAAATAAAACATATCTGCATCACAGTTTGAGGTGTGTACTTACATTAAAATGTAACATAATTAAACTTTTATGTTCATTTCCACGATAAATTTTATTTAAGTACTTATAAAAAGCTGTAAAAATCCAACGATAGCTGCATTAAGCCGTTAATATTTAAGTATATAATTTTCTGTTATTAAATAGCGCATTAAAATCAGACGTATCAATTGTAATGCAATTGAACTCGCGTACGCACACATTTAAGCGAATAAAAAAAGCATAACGTATACTTGTATAAACCACATAAGAGCTAAGGTGATCCCGAGAAACCAGCACCCATCCCCGGGCACGGAGAGAAAAAAGATAACTTCACTTGTCCAGCTAAAAATAGGAAGCCTGTAGCCTGCCCCTTAATCGTATACCTGGAATTTACTGCGCGCCCTAATGATTGCAAGTTCATCGAGATAATGCACATTAATAAGGTGTAGATATAGAAGGAAAACAATTGGCATGGGACGGATTGAAATTATTCTCATATTTTAAATTATTGACTATGTTTTTATGAATAAATTAGACAGGACTAAGTTATCTCTAAATAACCACACAGTTTCCGCTTGCAAATTTTTAATCCGATAATTTTACACTTTTGTATAAGTCTTATATGTCCTGAGGCGAATGGGATTCACATCATCAAAATTTAATAGGTTTTTCGCGCTGATTAGTATAGTTTCATTGATGAGTTATACAAAATGAATCGTACTGTAATTTGTGTTAGTCGAGTTTTTTATTCCCCCTGGTCACAGATTTTTTAATCACATATACAGCTTAACAAAATAGACTTTGGAATAAATGAGATCGCCGCTAATATACACAGTTACCCAACGTTCTTGACATAAACTGAAGTAGATAGTTTAGTATTATTTATTGTTATTATTTAATGTTATTCATTATACCGTATTTGGTGTCCAGCCAGCGTATATCAATAGCGCAGGCGGAGTTACCATTCCATTTCATCCATTCAAAAAACCACTTTTGTTCGCTAATAAGGAATACGAACTACAAACAATATTATTATAATTTTTTATAATGCATCATTTTTTTTTTTTTTATAATAGACACCATACACTATGATGCCGAAATACAGCCATATTTAAACGAAATACGAGTGGAATAGAAGTATTTGTTTGCTTGGGTACCTTTGTCCCATACGTGTTTCAACCGTGAAGCCACTGTGCTTGCATGGCTGTGTTTCGGTTTGATGGGTGGGATATGGTTGTAAATTTACAGGGTACAGAGGCATAACACCTTATTTCTCAGGAATGGCAACGCATGGAGGGTATCATGGATGAAACAATATACTTTGTTATGTCCATGGTACTGCTCATGTCTATAGGCGACGGTTACCACTTTCCATTAGGTGGGCCGTCAGTTTGTTTACCATTCTAAATTGCATAAAAAAAACCAAGCAGACGACTTTCAAATACGAAATCTAGATATGTTTATATACTATTGTTTATATACCTACATATTAAATAATAATTAGTGCAAGCACGAGATCAATTTTATTTTGCTCCCCATTTGGCTGTCACTCAATCGGTAATTAGGAACAAAGAACCGTTAGTTGTTGCTTAGTCGAGAGTCGATCAATTCTTATCTTTATCAAATCGACCCGCGCAAGTAGGTTTAAAATTAATGTTTACGTTGCTTGTCTGGTCACGATTCGACCGCATTTGTGAATACGGAGTAGGCGCAAGATATTTGATTACCTACCTACCTAGTCGGGTTACCTAGTTTTAATCAGGTAGTATGCACTATGCACCGATTTTTAGAAATCGGACTGTGACGGACGGTCATTATTTCGATTATATTTAGTTATTCATTTTCTATTATAGATATAATAAAATTTGTACAAATGGCGAGCTTAATACCGTATGACAAAAATGTATGAGGACAGTGGTGGCGAAAATACATTACATAAAAAAAAATTAACCTATTAATATACATTAACATAATAATAAATATCGTACAGAATAATATTATAAATATATATGTATATTTATAATATTATTCTGTATTAAATACAATAATAAAAAAAAATTGTGATGATAATGAAATGGTAACCCCACCTGCGCTATCAGTATCGCTGGCGGGGCACCAATCAGTGAATGATAGATGAGGATGAAAGCAGGTCAGTTAGTATATCATGATGAAATCGACAAGAATAAACCATGATGGTTTCCAGGGGGAACCGCGTGGAAGTCGACCTAAAAGGATATTGCTAGCAAAGGGACTTTTAGAGCCCATCACTAACAGTCCTTTTCCCTCTATAATAAATATGTTGTAATATACCTATTTAACTATTTATATATGACAAAATAAGATTGTCTTAGAACTAAATAATAACCCTAACGCTAGCTTTACGCTGGCAAAGTACCAATGAGGGATAATAGATGAGAATAAAGTCAGATCAGCCATCGTGACGTAAATAAAATACTTGCAAGTAATACTTAGATAAATTTATATAAATGTAGAATAATCAGTTAATATAAAGAGGAAGCTAGATTATAATAATATCAAAAAAAAATTGCACACATCAATAATTAGGGACATTAGAACCAGATTGGAAAAATTATTTAGACCGGAACAACAATGCAAGAACATCATATAAAATTATTATAAAATATTTTAATATGACTTCAGAATCCAAAATACGAGTACACAATGGATTGAAAACTTTACCTTCTAAAAAAAAGTATAAAGTGGTTAAAATTTGCCATCTGATGATACTATCGAAAGGTAAATTTTCAACTTGTTATTTCGTATTAGATTATTTACAAATGCATTCAAACAACAAAACAAAACCAAACTGTTTATAATTACAGATAAGGCAGCTCATTTTTTCTTTGTGCAATCTGGTCATTTCTTATAACTTTTGACTTTGATCAGTAGTCTATTAAATTTTGGAGACAACAATAATTAAAATTAAATGCGAGCATTCTAAGTAATAAATAAATACTCTTTACAGTAATAACTTTTATCCGCAATTTCGTTCACTTGACCGGGATAAAAAGTAGCCTATAGTCTTCTTTATCCCATAGAGTATATGTATACTAAACGTAATAATAAGTTAAGCCGATAAGGCGCTAAAAGGTAACAAACAAACTCACTTTCGCATTTATAATATTAGTAAAAATTTATCCTTACTGATAAATTTGGTATACATGTAATATAAAAATATCCCGGCTACGCAGACAAAGTGGCGAATAAAACTAGGCTCGTAATCTATATAGTATAAAATGTACCATAAACAGTATTGTCATTATTTATCTATTAAGAGTAACTATCTCTTAAATGCTTGCAAAATGCTAATAGCACTAAACACAAATTGAACGAATAAATAAAAATCAGGGAAACTTTGTACAAAAGTCGATTGCTTGAGTATCTCTGTCCCATTCGTGTTTCAACCGTGAAGCAGTTGTGTTTGCATGGCTGTGTTTCGGTTTGAAGGGTGGGATATGGCGTGAATTTACTAGGTCCTAAGAAATGGCAACGCATGGGGGTATCATGGGCGAAACAGTGTACTCTGTTATGTCCATGGTACTGCTCATGTATATAGGCGACAGTTACCACTTTCCATCAGGTGGGCCGTCAGCTTGTTTGCCATTCTAAGTTGTATAAAAAAAACGAGAAGTAATTCGATTAATTGGTTTATCTCCGCCTTAAGAAGAAGGTACATTTATTTTTCCTCTATTTTAGTAGCGTTGGAAACACGCTATTCTGTATGACTATTAAGTACTAAATCAATAGATGTAATCAGATAAATATTTATAAAAAAGATCTACATAAGCAAAAATTTTGAGCCTCCATACCCCATACTAACTATAATAACTAGACACAGCAGTGAAGTTAACGTTTGTGTAACGAAACAAACTGTTTGATGAAAATTCACCAGACCATAAGACAATCTGCTGATGTCCAGTAGTAACACA